AATAAGTCAGAAAGTCTTCTTGAAAGAAAGCTTCATCACCTACGATGGCTTTAGGCATACAATTGTGTTCATCACTCCACAACCTTAGAGCCTGAATGGTCTCCTTGTTGTTCAGTGAGTTTTGTGCCGTAGCCCAAAGTAAGTTGGTTGCACCATCAAGAACAAGCAACACCATGTACTTGTTCTTCCTCAACTGAATTTCAGCATGATCAACAAAGATAACATCTCCAAAGTTGGTGGATCGTATGCCTGAAATTCTGGCTCGCGGCGGTGGTGCAATGGAAGTACTACACACACGACACTTGTTGTACATCTCCTCATACTTCTGATAGACAGAGTCAGGAAGTCCTAACATGGAAGTCCTTCGTCTGAATTGAGTAGGAGACATGTGATAGTGTTTGACATGAAGCTTGTAAAGTTCCACACTATCCTCCAGTTTCCTGAGCATCTTTCTGTATGCTGGTGTCATGGCTTGCACTTCACTACCAGGCAGTGGAATCGAAACTCGCCTAGGCTCAAGAGCATCACTACCTAGTTTCTCAACTTGACTTTCTGAATCTTGCTTACCACGGTTGCGCGCAGGTGCAGAATGTTTTGGTTCAATGACTTGAGGTTCATCTGAATCAATTTTGTCCAAACCTAACTCCCTAGCTACTTATCAAGCTCATCTTCTTCATCAAGCTTGGGATAGGAGACAACAACCTTCTTTCTTGATGAACCTGATTGAGAGTCATCGACAACCTGAGGTTTCTGCTTACCTACGTGTCTTTTGGCTGCAGGTGGACCTACCTCAATCTTTTTCGAGCCTGGTCCATTTGAAATCGGTTTGCCTTCCTCCTTCTTTAAGGAGCTTGGCTTCTTCTTCTGTACACCTGATGGCACTGAAGAGGCTGACTCAGGGTGAAAAAGATCATCAATGTTTCCACGAAAGGGCCTTGCACGATCAATGTCACTTCTGACAATGTCATCTGGGATCACGTAGTCCTCCTTGATCTTGTAGATGGTCTTGCCCTTCCAGAACTCTTCACTCTGTTCAGAAAACCTCTTCTTCTCTGTGCGCCAGTTGTCCTTGTGAAGAACCTTCTTTTTGCTCTTCTGGAATTCCATGTGGGTTTCTCTCTCATCAAGAAGTTGATCTTTTGGAATTGGAGTTTTCTCTGATCGAGTCATCTCATGTAAGTTCATTCTCTTGTCCTTGTGGTGCCTGATAAGTTCACGACGTAGTGGATCAACCTGCCAGTAGTCACCAGTCACCAAAGCTTCTCCTTCATGATCATCTTGTTTGACAGCAATCTGGCTGTACTCAAAGTGATCGTGTTGTGAATAGAAACTTTTGACTTGTGGAGTCTTGAAATGAACTTGGCTCATGTACCATGCTATATCTTGTAGGTCGAGAATGAGATGAGTACTAATGGCTGTCCTCAAAACCATTTTTCTCATGCCAATACGTGCACAGGACAAATAAGCCTTCTCTGGAGTAAGTTCAAATTGAAATCCAAGGTTTCTCATCTGTGGAAGTGACATCAACAATGGGACATCACCTTCTTCGACAATGTCGAATTCTGTAAACTGAGTGTTCCATCCATGATCATACATGAATATCACGAGCTTCTCAGTACATTTTGATTGTTGTGAGTTTGCAAAGAAGAATCTTGAACTTGTTGGCTGAATTTCATACCAGAGTCCACTGTTGGGATGTGAGTCAACATATCTGCAAAATGCTTCAACTGCTCGTCGAGAGCCCATAGCTCTTGTGCATCCAAGATCCAGAATACACACAGTTGGTGGTGCAGAATTCTCTGTGTGAAAAGCTAGTCCATTCTCACATGCCAGATCAGTTTGTACAGTATGAAATGAAAAAGCACTCTGCTGTGATGGTTCCTCTATCTCTGTAGAGCATCCATGTGAAAACAATGATGTGCCTTCTGCCAATGGCTTCCATGAAGCCTCACCTTCTTGAAGACCAACTTGCCTGGGCACTACAGCTGGACGTTGTTGTACACCTTGTCGTAGTGCACCAACTTCTCCAACCAGAACAGGGAATCTCTTCATTTCTCTCCTGTTTTGATGTGCTTTTGCATCACGTTGGTTCTGTCCTCCACGACGAGTACGTCGTTGTTCATCTTGTGCTGCATACGTGGATGTCAAAACATCAACACGTGCTGGCTCTGTCTCTGCAACATCAACACGTGCTGGTTCAGTTGTTCCAAATGAAAAGAAACCATGACCAGAACTTGAAGCTGCAGAAGAATAATGAGCTTGTTGAGTTGGTTGATTCTGTATGGCAGGGGCTGATGTGGTCTGAGGTTGAACATAGTTCGACTTGCCTTTTACATCTCCTGGCTTTCCTCCTTTTCCATCATCATCCTTGCCTTTCTTGCCTTTCTTTCCTTTTCCTTCTCCTTTTCCTTTCTTCTGGAAGTATCCATACTCATCCATGTAGTACAGATCATCATAGGCCCAATAGCCTTCATTCCAGGTTTGATCATCGGCCCAATAGCCGTCATAGTTTTCATTCCATTCATCTTCTTGCCATTCATCTTCATAACCTTCTTCGCTCACCATGTGAGCACGGCCTTTTCTTCTTCCTTTTCCTCGGCCTTTTCCTTTTCTTGATTTGAAGAACCTTCGTCCTCCTCTGCCTTTTCCTTTTCCTTTTCTCTTTCCTTTACCTTTGCCTCGTCTGATGTATTTGCCTTGGAACCTTCTCTGATACCATGTGAAGTTGGCGTCATCATAAACCCAGAAAACATCTTCTAAGGCATCCAGGAATCCTTCTGCGCCGTCTTCTTCATCTTCGGCCCAATAGCCGTCGGTTCCTTCTAATTCACCTTCATCCAGTACAAGGAAAGATCTTCTCTGTGCCATGCCAGAGGGTTGCATCAATGGATTGTCAACTGCTGTTTTGGTAGTGCAAAACATTTCCAAAAACAGGTCACGTAGTTCTTGAATGTTGTATCGATCGAGGGTTCGACCACGATGTGTCATGATACTTGTGAGTGTGTTTCTCTGATCTTGACTCAGGTCAGCTAGACTTACAAAAATCGATGCTAGCAAATTTTCACCCAGTGGGAATGCTTGTCGCTGTGCTTCTCTACGATTTTCCTGAAATTGTCTGAATGCCGCTAGTGCCAGTTCATCTGTCCAAGGAACAGCTACATGGGGTGTTCCTGAGGCTGCTGCTACTTCAGCTCTCTCTTGTTGATCTCGTTCATGTTCTTGACGTCGTTGTTGAACAAACAGGATTGCTTCAGGACTAGTCACTGTTACTTCTGGAAGTAAATCCATCCAAGACTCAATAAGTCTATTGCCAGTGAGTTGAAATCTAGTCATCCACTTCTGAAGATCCATTGTTCCTCTGTTGAACTTCATGAACTGCATGAAACGGTATAAGAACACGTTCTGGGCACCTTTGATGAAATGAGGTCGTAGAAATCTTTTGAAATAAGCCACTCCTTCATAGGGATCCCTGAGTAATTCTCTATCCAATAGCCTCTTGTATTGTTGAGCATCTCCTTCCAGTCTGTTGCGCAATGCTGGACCACGTTTCTCTGGTTCTAACTCCGTAATGTCACACCAGTCATCAATTGCATCCTCAAAAGCAAAGAAGCTGGTTCGCCCATCATAGGCTGGAGCAACCTTTGTGGTCATCTGTTGCGTCATATGAATCTGTGTATGCTGGGGTGCTCTTCTCATTGCATAAGAGTCATATTGGTTCCATTCATTTGCATCGACAATGTCGAAGTCATCATCATCATAGCCATGGCTTGCCATTTCTTGGGCTCTACCTGGAGCTCACCCTCAATGAGGGATCACTGCTCCGCTACCACTTGAAGAGGGGCCCTAGCGTCTACTTCAAGATCAGCTAAGGCGTCTTCCCCAATGACAGCACTCTTTTACTCTCAGCCTGTTGCCGGTCAGTGCTTGTCTACAGGGTTACTCTATATACCTCTTTCTTGAGCCTTGAAGGCGCATATAAATGTGCTCAATACTCATGCATGTACCTATGTAGGTATTAGGTCGAAACAAAAACAGGGGGCCCCCCCCCCCCTAAGTCTCCGTTCGTGACTCTCGGCTCTCAATTTCCGGGAAAGGAGCACCCACCTCCCCCAGTACTAAACTAGTACTAAAGTACATAGAACTCAGGTAGCCTAGGCTACCTTTCGTGAATATACCAAATGATCACTAATCAATGAGGTAAACTCTCAATATAAGGCTTTATGAAACTGGAGTGTATGCCTAATTTCAAGCTGGATGATGTTTATGACCTGCGTTCATGGTTGATGTCTGAGATTGCGACTATGGCATCGCCTGACTTCACTGGCTCCTTTTCGCAGGCGGCGATGGCAGCGTTGTAGCTGACACTATCTGCCTGGCGAGATCAAAATCACCAAGTGCGTCTCTATGTCGCTGCAGCTAGCTGCTCCTTTCATTTCAATACTGAAGCACTTCTTTATTTTTTGTTTAATGTTGTTTATCTATGAATGTTTATCTTGTTTTGGAGAACGAACTTCAATGGATCGCCTCCAGCTCTTCTTCTGTGAGCTGATTCAAAAGCAGCAGAGCGGGGCGCCATTGACCCCGCTTTTCACAGGCGCTGATGGCCTCAGAAAGTGGCCAGAAAACTACGCCCTGGCCAATAAAATCCCACGCCGATGTGGGCAAATGTTGGTCAAACACAGCCGGTTTTTTTAAAAGCATCTGTACTAAACCCCCCATCAGTTGCTGACCTGCCACCTGCTAACCAAAGAATTGAGACGTTTCGGCGGTGTATGGCAAATGCTTTATGTTATGACATTCTTATTGCTGGCAATTGTGTGTTTTTTCTCCCTCCTGGAGACCAGGCTTTGATTAGATGAATCCATCCCGTCAGCCTTATCTGGCCTGGTCCGTTTCATCAGCAAGATATACTAGCATGACCCCATATAGTCTCCCCATTTCCCATATGTCCAGACATATGGAAAGGTCAAATAAAACAGGGATTTTCCAACAGCCATCAATCACCGCGATGCAGCGCTGTACACGATGACATCTCCACGAAAGTTCTCGCTCTGGAGCTCCTCGAGGGAATCACTTGGGGCGTGGAATTGCCTTGATAAATCAGAAGAAACCTATTGTGGACTAACATGGTGCCTTAAATACACATTCAAAACAACAGTTGTAAGGCGCCAGTAGCATATAGATCTAATTAGTGACGTCTAGTGGCTAGTGAGCCGGCCTTTTTTATTTCGCCACTCTGGAACCACCAACTGCGGATTGCAGATGGAGAGCTGACCGTTTAGTCTAGATTAGAGTCTAGATTCCATCATATTCTCAAACATAATTTTGCTTTGACACTCTACCTTTTACATCCTTGAAGACATCTGTTTACCGTAAACCCGTTTCTGTCAGATTTTTCAGATCAGAAATGACAGCCAGAAAAGAATTGGAATTTCATCCGTGGAGGGTACGGCATCGACAGATCAGAGAGGTTGCTGCGTTCACAGAGCAAAGGGATGCACCCGAGGATCAAGCGCTGAACAATTCTTGAGCTCTACCATGCTTTACAGAAAAATCAGTGGAGTGACTGGCTGCACCCTGGAGTTTCCTGGCATCCTTTGCATTCAATACTTGCAGCCAAAGAATAAACATCCCAACCGTGGAGTCACTTTTGCTTAACCTTTCTTTCACTTCAATTATATATTAAGTCCTTTAAGATCTTTCAGATATTTCCAGGATCTTGCAGGATCCTCACGCAAATCCCATTCACACCCAGCCCCTGATGGGCAACATCCTCGAGCAGCTGCAATGCAACTTGCCACTGGCCCGACTTTTCACAGGCGCTGATGGTTGCGCTGTATCTGGCACAGCGCAACTTGTCCAAGGGAGTGGCATGGGCTGGCACTGGTTAGTGTCAATGGATGGTATGGGTCGAGATGGAGCTTAGAACGCTTAGAAGCCAGAAATGTCGAATAATCTCACCTACGACCTCTCCAAAAAATGAATTCTCATGAATTCTCTCTCTCACCACAGGATGGTGCCCCCCAGTTATAAGTTGGTTTATAAACCCCATTAACTATAGTTATATCTGCCATAAACCATAGTTATGGGAGTTATAAACCAACTTAGCTAACTATGGGGCACCACCTTGCAGTGATTTGGTGCCCATTTTCGTTGCAGACATTCCGATTCTTAGCTCTCACCAGGCCAGCGGGGCGAGATGATGCTGATCTCAAAGGAATCTCCTGGAGCTTGGCGCAAACTTTCAAGGGCTCGCTGCCATTGACCACCCTTCCTGAGTGAAAAATGGCAACGAAAACGCAATAGGATGCCCTATTGGATTCCTTTATTTTGTTGGAAAAATGCCTGAAGCTAATTTCAGCATGAAACTCTGTATAGATGTTGTTGTCTCACAATTTATTCTGCTTGGTGGTTGACCTACCCCTCTGAAAAATATGAGTGAGTAACAGTTGGGATGATCTTCCCAATATATGGAAAAATAAAAAATGTTCCAAACCACCAACCAAATATTTAACACCATACATATTTAACAGCATTTAGATATTTAGTTTATAATAACCATGATGGTGTTTGGAATGACCAGTATTGTAATTTATTCCAGCTATTTAGCAATGTGGCAAGTTCCAAGGCACTCGAAGGCGCTCAGCATGGCATTGTAGCTCACCTCATCGGGTCGCAGGTCTTGGCCTGGAAAAGCGCGAAAAGACCTGCCCCCATTCAATGTGTCAAATGGGGTATCTCATTGATGTCACATATACATATATATATATAATATGTATGTGTATATATATATATATGTATATAATATATATATATGCATATATTATCATAATATAATATAATAAAATATAATATAATATAATATATATATATATAATATTATATATAGTGTGTGTGTGTATTTATTATGATGTACACTGTGTATTTATTCTGATATCCATCCAAGACTTATGCTGGTGTCAAATTGGGGTCATGCCAGGTAGCCTTGCTGTGTTGATGCCCCGTTTTGGAGTCCCTCTGGGTCGACCATCCCACACCGCTCCCACCTGAAAGGGCCTGCAGTAAGCACAGTACCTCCTGCCAACGTCCTGCTTTTTCACAGGCGCTGATGGCAGAATTGAAGGAAATGAGATTCCTGCCGCCAAGGACTCAACGGTGTAACTGTGAACTTGGCACTCGCACATGATGGCTGATATAAAAATTGGTCACAAAGCCAAAGAGAAAGAGTAGTGACACATAGATATATCTGAAACCCTTAGCCGCTTAGCAAATTGGAAGTCCACCCCGGCGGCCAACTGGCACCAGCCGAGCTTCGCTTTCAGGTGAGACACCAAAATCGCCGTCAGCAACGCTAAGGCGGTCCGCCACTGCGCACATTTCTCGCCTACAGATGGAGCTGTGGTGGGGCAACTGGCAATCCTTTCCCGCAAATCACAAGGTGAGGGAGCCATCATGGAGGATCTTGATGTTGATATATGTTGATATGATATGAGATTTACATGTTGTGTATCTGTGCGCGTCTAAAACATACATATGCAACAGCAGGAGTATAACCAGCACCAAACAGGCTGGGATTTTGATGATATTGACTCAGTTTTCTGTTTTCAAGATCATTTTCCAGGTCTTGCAACCATAACCAACATATAGGAAATCAATGGAATCAATGGAATTTCAAAACCAAATCTCGACCGGGTTTCTGTCAGCTACCCTCTGGTAAACTAACATAACTATGGAGAATCACCATTTTTAATGGGAAAACTCACTATAAATGGTCATTTTCAATAGCTATTTTGACATAACCAGAGGGTAGAAACCCATCAGTTCTTGGCGGCGAGCTGCAGGCTGCAATCGCCGAGCTGTAGGTGATGACGTTCGGAAGCAGTTTCTCCTCGGACATCTCCTGGAGGGAAGAGCCAAAGAATCCTGCTGGCTTTCACCAGAAATTCAGTGATCAATGGCCATTTCAGGAACCTAAATTGGAGGTACCTACCATTTATAAGGCCTATATAAGGCCTATGTAAGGGAATATCCCCACAAAATATGGCCAGAAATATGGTACAGTACCTCCATTTTAGGATCCTGAAGTTCTTATTGAAGTGATACCGGTATATGTTTGTGTAAACCCTCCAAAAGATTCCGGTTGATTCTTGGGTTTTGACCACTTTGTTTGCTTCGCCATTTTTGGGGATCATGACATTTGGGTATCACAACAGACTCGTCCTCCCGAGTGTAGCTGAGTTGCCCAACTTCCCCAACTGACTTTTAAGCCAACTACCTTTACATATAATGTATCATACGTAAGGTAGTTAGCTAATCACATTTATATATATAATATATATATATATATACATATGTTGTCATTTTTTAAAACATATGAAACATTTCCTGTTGAAATCGTGCGCGCGCAGGCGCGCGAGCATTTAACACATGCGCGCGCGAGGTGCGCAAGCACAGACAGGCGCGCGCGCGAGACGCGCGAGCAAATAGAGGCGCGCGCGCGCGAGGTGCGCGAGCAAGGCCAAGATGCGCGCGCGCGCGCGAACACGCGCGCCCGTCCGACACGCGCGCGCGCAAATAAGCTCTCCAAAAGTGGATTTGGTGAGCTTATTTGCGATTTGGAGAGCTTATTTGCGCGCGCGGAGAGCTTATTTGCGCGCGCGCGTGTCGGACGGGCGCGCGCGCGAGCACGCGCGCGCATCTTGGCCTTGCTCGCGCACCTCGCGCGCGCGCGTCTCTATTTGCTCGCGCGTCTCGCGCGCGCGCCTGTTGTTGCTCGCGCACCTCGCGCGCGCACGTGTTAAATGCTCGCGCGCTCGCGCTGCGCACCCCGCAGCTGGTGAGGCACCATATATGAATTCATATGTTTTGAATCAAGCCAATACATATGCATACCCAACTACCTTTACATATACCCTCTGGTAATTTAACGTAGCTATTGAAAATGACCATTAATAGTGGATTTTCAAAAATGGTGATTTTCCATAGCTATGTTAGTTTACCACAGGGTATTCACTAATGTATCGACCCTTCAGCAAGCAAACATAGCTATCGCCTCGAGAAGCTGCATGGCCAAGAGCCACTGCTGCCCTTTTCCGCAGGCACCTTGCTTTTGCGTCAAGTTGCAGAACAATGGCTAAATTGATATGATTTGGAGGCTTTTATTCAAATAGATTGATGGGGTTTTATATGTTTTATTGATTTTTTAGTGGATTTGAGTGGAATAAAACTTACTGATATTACTTTGAACCAGTATCACATATCAAACCTGGATATTTAATATCGAATGATCCTTTTTGTGGGTTCTACCAATGATATCATATAGGATCTCTATGATTAATAATGTTGATACAGTAGTTAATGGATACTATAGAAATGCCTCCATCAGAACTTCCTCTCCTATATTCGGTATGGGATTGATGTCCGTGATTGTAGGGTTATAAATGGGGTTGAAACCATTCTCAATCAGGTCGAGTGACTAGAATTGAATGTGGTTCAATGGATGAGATGTAAACCCAGCGCAAGGGATTTGTCACTCAATACAGCAATGGAGAAGTTCACTCCTTTAAAACAACAAATCCCTATAAAATAAATGCACTTGGCTACTGAAAGAAAATCATATCGGAAGCCCAAAAAATTGGCAAGTCCAAGGTTTCCAGAATTTCCAGATGTCCCTTTTGACAGTGCAGATCCATTTGTTGTTTCTGATTTTCTGACAGTTTCTGCATATGTTCCATGGAAAATCACCACCAACTCGTTGACCCCTGCATCCGAGGTGCTCAAGGCAGCACTATATGTCACCACGTTGGCTTCCAAGTCCAAGGACTTCAATTCCTGCGGTCCATGGATTTTCTGTCTCGAGAAGTTGGTGATCTCAAAAGGATTTTCTGGAACTTCCTCGTGGCAAAATGATGGTTATTATTTATTGTTGTGGCACGCCACATGATATTTGGAATATAAACGTGAGTGTGTGTGTGTGTGTGTGTGCGTGCCAAACAATAAGAATAAAAACCTGTGAATCAATTTTCACGTACATTTGCATTGTGTTTTACACATTACATCTCATAACATACCACAATATCCAGAGAGTATAGCATGTTTTGCCATGTCCCAGGCATTCTTGGACCATTTTGTTTGGACCTACCCTGGGCCACCAAACCCTTAAAGCCGCCAAGGCGGATTGCCATTTGCTCGCGGCGTGGCTCGCGCTCACGACCTTTGGCGATTCCCAAGCCACTGGGGACACAAGAAATGTTGGATATATACTTTTTGGCAATGATGAATAACTTTCATATCATGTGTCCACTTTTTGACTACCTGACGACCATTAAAACGCATGAATTTTGAACAACATGGGTCTTAGTATAATGCAATTCAATACAGCAAGTAACAAATGATGCAATGTTGGCCGCCAGACCAGGGTTTGCCAAATATCGACTCATGTTGTGCCCCCCAAAAAAGTGGCATGTTTGAACCAAAAAAACAAACACAACTGGCACGCCCGGTGGTGAGCCGTGACACCGCGTTGTAGCTGACGACATCTGGCTGCCCTCCCTCCGCAGTAAGCTGCGACAGCAGCGCCAAACTGCGCTGCCACTGGGTTCCCAAGGCGCAGGCACTGATGCCGGCGCTGTAAATGATGCGATTGATTTGGAAGCCATTTTCCTGGATGAAAACATGGACAAACTGGATTTGTCTGAACAACGGGTCGCTACCCCCAAATCATGATATCATAATGATCACAGTGCATGGTGTTGATATGTGTTGGTTTTGATATGTGTTGATATTACTTGCATGACGTTACCAACATGATGATGCTGATCATCATCATCATCATCATAATCATCATCATCACCACCACCACCATCATCATCATCATCATCACCACCATCACCATCCTCACCATCATCACCATCCTCACCATCCTCACCATCACTATCATGATCCGCCCCCTTACCGGTTCCAGTCCTGAAAGTCTGAAAAATGTGCCAAAGCTGCTTCCCAATGCTGATTCCTTCCACAGCCGCTGATAGCCCTGCAGTAGAGGCGTTCTGACGCAGGCCGGGTCCTTCGACCGCAGAATATCGCAGAATCCAAGGGGCCAAGGGGGGGATGTGTTGAAAGATGGGACATTCAGGACATCCAAATCAAAGTAAGTCAAAACACCGAAGTATTCAAACATCACGGGGATATCCCATCTGCCAGCAACCCATCTCAATCATCGGGACACTCTGTTTGAAACACCCCATGGTGGGAAAATCTTCAATCGAAATGTCTTCCAGGAGGTCACAGGTAATGTGCAGGATTAGTTCCTTGACATAGTATGGACCTACGCCAGTTAGTGACATAGTGATTTTCGACTGAAAACCGGATTGTATTGAAGATGGAAATTGTATGAAATTGTGCCATTACCAGCTGAAATGACCATCGGCTACACCAAACTTCCTTTTTCATCGCGACACGTAAGATCTCCTTGACAGAAGCCTGGCCGATGCCTGAACAGCTTCAGCAGTCCAGTGACTACTAAAGTCTGTCAGATCATACCGCAGTGAACCAACATAGCTAGGGAAAATGGCCCATCTATAGATGGTTACCCGTTAAAATAGTGATGTTCATTGATTTTCCATATAAAATTACCAGAGGGTATCTTTGGATCGTGCAAAGTTGAGGCTGAAAACATATCCCCGAGATGATCTCCGGTGATCAGCTTCCCAAAAACCACTGATCTGAAACGGTTTCTCAGTGCAGCTCACAGTTGGCCAACCAAGCTGCTTTCGCCATATCAACCAGTTCGGAATGCTGTTACTAGCTATCAACCAACATCAACCAACATCAACCAACATCAGCCAAGATCCCAAGTGATCAGCTACCAAATCACCTACTGAACCCCAGCCACCTCAATTGGCCAAGCAGAACTTGCCCAGCCTCGTGCCACTTCGCACCCTGGGATCCGTTGGATCTGTTGGATCCGTTGGCTCCGTTGGATCCTTTGGCTTCGGCCACCATTGCCTGGAAAGAGTGTGGGGTCCATGATTAGCCTCCGGTAAACATACAAAAAGCTATGGAAAATCACTGGAAAATCACCATTTTTCATGGGAAAATCAACTTAGATCAACTATAAATAGCCATTTTCAATAGCGAACTGTTAGTTTACTAGAGGGTATGAAGCTTACCACCTTACCCTGCACCTTGCAATCATACCCCCAGGCCCCATGCATGGTACGATGCTACATCATCGCAACCAACTTATGAGGTCATTCTTGATCTAAGCCCAATTATAGCTGGCTGGTACGGGCCCATCATCGTGACGCATCCCAGAAAGAATTACTCTACTTCGTGTGATCCCCACCATGACATGTCAGGACGTATATTTGGACATATATTTAGTATATTCTGACATCCTATCTGACATATATTCTGGCATATATTCTGGCATTCTATCTGGCATATATCCTGACATTCCACCTGGCGTTCTATCTGGCAGTCTATCTGGCATTCTATCTGACATATTTTCTGACATTTCATCTGACATATATTCTGGCATTCTACCTGTCATTTATTCTGACATATATTCTGGCATTCTATCTGACATATATTCTGGCATATATTCTGGCATTCTATCTGGCATTATATCTGACATATATTTTGGCATTCTATCTGACATATATTCTGGCAAATATGTTGGCATTCTATCTGGCATTATATCTGACATATATTCTGGCATATATTCTGGCATTCTATCTGGCATTATATCTGACATATATTTTGGCATTCTATCTGACATATATTCTGGCATATATGTTGGCATTCTATCTGGCATTATATCTGACATTCTATCTGACATATATTCTGGCATTCTATCTGACATATATTCTGGCATATATTCTGGCATTCTATCTGGCATTATATCTGACATATATTTTGGCATTCTATCTGGCATTCTATCTGGCATTCTTTCTGGCATTCTTTCTGGCATTCTATCTGGCATTCTATCTGGCATCCTATCTGACATTCTATCTGGCATTCTTTCTGGCATTCTATCTGGCATTCTATCTGGCATTCTATCTGGCATCCTATCTGACATTCTATCTGGCATTCTATCTGGCAGTCTATCTGACATTCCTACATGAGGTCCGGCAGGGAACACTTGGCATGGATACTCGCGGTTGAGGTCCGGCAGGGAACACTAGGCGCGGATGGTCGTGGTTGAGGTCCGGCAGGGAACACTGGGCGCGGATGGTCGTGGTTGAGGTCCGGCAGGGAACACTGGGCGCGGATGGTCGTGGTTGAGGTCCGGCAGGGAACAGTGGGCGTGGATGGTCGTGGTTGAGGTCCGGCAGGGAACACTGGGCGTGGATGGTCGTGGTTGAGGTCCGGCAGAGAACACTGTGGATCGCGAGTCGCAGTTGAGCAAGGATGACGAGGACGACGAGGACGACGACGAGGACGAGGAGGACGAGGAGGAGGAGGAGGACGAGGAGGAGGAGGAGCAGGAGGAGGAGGAGCAGGAGGAGGAGGAGCAGGAGGAGGAGGAGGAGGCAACTGACATAAAATCTAACAACCCTCACCTGGCAGGTGGGGAAAAATCACAATCAAACATAACTTGAATCATAATCATGAGAAGTGTTTATATCAAAGAATATCAAGTAAATATAATCAGAATCACATCATCGCACCATTAATAATCAATGATCATTCCTTTACTATGATGGTGATATGAATGGCGCAATGACTGAAGATACCTACAAGCTCCACAGGCTTGTGACACCTCATCAGCACTTGGTGCTTCATCGGCAGGCTTGGAGGCTGCAAACCAGGCATCAAAGGACAATGAACCATATGGGTGTTGCGTTAAAGGTCGGGGAGTCCCCCAAAATCATCACTTGGACTATTTCAGTAATATTGAAACAACCACGAGTGGAAACTCAATATGAACCATACAACACAACATTTCACCATCTGGGAGTGTTTGAAACCAGAAGCCAATATATAAGGATATTATTTTGGTGTAGTAGTAAGTTTGCTCTGTGAATTGTATGCTGAAGGTGAATTTAAGTTTCATTTCACTACAATGGCTTCATGAAGCGTTGGCCCTGAGAAAATGCAGCCACCATAGTTCGCTAGTCCAGTATCCGAACTGTTGCCATTTCGCACTGCAATTGGTCTTTTGAAACGCCGGAACAACACAATAACTACATAATTTGATAAGTTCCAACATGAAAGTCTATCAGTTCAACCTCAAACGACCATGAACGTTGTCATAGAAATGCACAACGCGTCCTCCGGATTCCTCCGGTACTTTCTCCACGAAAATAGCGTCTCAACGGCAGCCTTTGGCTGCTGAGGTGTTCATCTTTGGAACGCCATTTGCCACGCTAAAGAGGTGAAGTGTTCAGGTCTTCCCATAATATGTCATAGCTATAAACGAATATATATATATATTATATTATATATATATATATATATATTTGAGGAAGAAACAAGTTCTCTTTTTGCATCCATGTTAAGATTGATATCATTGATAAATATAAATATATATATATATGTATTTATTGATTGATTTATTTACTTAATGTATGTATAAATAATCTGATTATCATCCCTAGTTGGCTATCGGTTTTCGTTGTTTTGCATCAATCATTTTCGATTCTAGATGTCTGGTTTGTTATCTTCCATCCCTGATTTGGCATGAGCTTTGACTCTTCAACCATTCTTAACCCAAAGAGTGCCAAAGAGTCATCGAAAGTCAGTTGAGGACAATGATCCCCCAGGAAAACAAAAACAAAACATGGCTGGAAGTTATCTTTGAACCTCTGGACCAAGGGCAGGCCATAGCTGGCCGCTCAACAGGCGTCCGGAATGGCCGCCCGGAAAGCTTCACAGGGCAGCGTGAGGTTTTTGAAGGTCATGGAGCCGCAGGCGGAGAAAATGCCCCAAAGGATACGAAAGATGCTGTGGCACTGCCAGGGATGGCCCTGCAAAGGGATGAAGATTCGAATGAGGATGTGGGACCAACATGCCATGGGTTGAAGCAATGTCAAATCGCGACCTTTGTTTTTGCACAAAACAAGTTCTATAATGATTCGGCTGGATTGATTCCAGCTTGATTGCCCGGTTTACGCAGTTGGTTGTGAAAACCGAAGACACGTTGGGGCGCGGACGGATCCACACCAGATCTGGTGGCTGGGATCATCCTCCCAAAGACGAAAATCAAGCATGGAGTCGCCACAAACTATGATCATTATAAATATATATATATATAGTTATATGATTTGTTTAACCCATATGTACTGTAGGTATGATGAAAATATATTCAGCCATATCTTGCCATACATTGACACATCTATATATCTACATATACATATGCATATAATTATGTATACATACATAGCCATCTCCAACGTAATCCCAACAAATTTTCCCAACCTGAAATGCCGTGGTTCCCGTGTCGGCCTCGCAGGGAGCGATCAAGGTATTCCCCGGATCTTGGTCGATCAGCGAGATCAGATCGTGACGAGGCACCACGTCCAACAAGCTCTGCTGGAGGTCCTCCAGCCTGGTGGTGGATGATTGTGGGCTGGCTTTAATGGAGGATCATGTCATGGCTATTGAGAATAAGGGGATAGTGATAAGAAATAAGATATGGGATAATTTGGAAATTATTTACCTATAAATATGGAAAATATAGAGAATATAGAGAATAATGGGATTTAATGGGGTTAAATAGGAGATAATGGGATTGAAATTGACCAATGGGATATTTCACTGTTAGTAAATTGACCGATGCTATATGACGGATATGCAATGGCATTATTAATGGGTTATTTCATCAAATTAATGTATGGTCAGTGCCGGAATTATAGAACGGAAGTTGAGGAGGACGAAGGTACGGTTATTTACCGTACCCTGTTGTTCTATAATTCTGTTTTCCTCGGAAGGTATGAAAAAAAATGTATCTGATCTTCCTCCTAATTTTTTTCGTCGTTCTATAATTCTTGTCGGAGCGCTCTATAATTCTGTTTTCCCCCATTTTTCTCACATTTCCCATTTTCGTTCTATAATTAATGTTTCCCGGGCCCCGTTCTATAATTAATTTTTCCGTCGAACGGAAAAATTAATTATAGAACGGAAAAATCAATTATAGAATTATAGAAGCTCTTCTGGGGTCCCAGAAATCCTATAAAATCACAATGAAATCTAAGAAAATCACCGTGAAATCCCATAAAATTACCATGAAATCCCATAAAATTACCATGAAATCTTATAAAATCACCATGAAATCCAAGAAAATCACCTGGTAAATGTGGGAAAAATGGGGGAAAACAGAATTATAGAACGGAAGTTGAGGAGTACGAAGGTACGGTTATTTACCGTACCCTGTTGTTCTATAATTCTGTTTTCCTCGGAAGGTAGAAAAAAAACGTATCTGAATTTACTCCTAGCTTTTCTCGTCGTTCTATAATTCTTGTCGGAGCGCTATTGTTCTATAATTCTGTGTTCCCCCATTTTTCCCACATTTCCCATTATCCTCATGTTACAGCATCCTCATTTTATCCTCGTTTCCTCATCAAATCCTAATTTTATCATCATTTTATCTTCATTTCCTTATCAAATCCTCATTAAATCCTCATTAAATCTGCATTTTATCCTCATTTCCTCATCAAATCCCCATTAAATCCTCATTTTATCCGCGTTTTATTATCATTTCCTCATCAAATCCTCATTTTATCTTCATTTTATCTTCATTTTATCCTCATTTTCTCATCAAATCCTCATTAAATCCTGATTAAATCCTCATTTTATGTTCATTTTATCTTTATTTTATCATCATTTCCTCATCAAATCCTCATTTTATCTTCATGTTATCCTCATTTTATCCTCATTTTATCCTCGTTTCCTCATCAAATCTTCATTTTATCTGCATTTTATCTTCATTTCCTCATCAAATCCTCATTAAATCCTCATTAAATCTTCATTTTATAGATTGTATATGTACAAATATGCAGTAAATATCATGTCAGTGCCAGAAATTATAGAACGGAGCCAGGAGGACAAAAGTACGGTAAAATACCGTACCTTTGTCCTCCTCCCCGTTCTATAATTAAATTTCCCGACTCCGCTCCGAATCGGAACCCGGAGGAGGACAAAGGTACGGTATTTTACCGTACTTTTGTCCTCCTGGCTCCGTTCTATAATTCTGGCACTGACTGTATACTGTGATTAATTAAATGGGACTAATTATATAGTATATAATGATGTATGTTAGTTAGTGGTTGAGGTAGATTGGTATTCACTATAATGTAAAGTAGGATGGGTATAACATGGTATAATGGGTATATATATATATATTATTATATACAATTATAATCTGGATGAACTAATGTAACTAATGGTTACATATGATGATTGTACATATGTATGTATGTATATATATATATATATGCGTAGTTAAATATATATATATATATGTGTGTGTATTATATTGTATCATTATTCTTAAGCCCCAATGATTATCCCATATTATCCCATACTTGGAGGACCATCCAATAGATCGTAACTGGTGAGTTGTTGAGTGGGGCAAACCCAACGGAGTTGTAGAAGGGCAAACCCAGGAGACTTATCAACCAGAGTCATGAACCAGTTGCTTGGGGGTCTAAGTCATATACCATCTCATTATCTACCCATCTATTGGTTCAAATGGGGGTGATCCCTCAAAAAGATCAGCCAACCGAAGAGGACATCTATAGGCGCTACCCGCACCAGGGAGCGTTCTCCTTGGACTGTTAAAAAGGACGTCCAATGCAAAATAGTGTTCTTCGAAAGTCATTTTCTGGTGGCTTTTCAGGGGTTGAACTCCAGTCTTGGATGCTTCATCGCCTGTTTCGGTGCTTAAACAATTAGTTAAATGATCATGTTTGCCAAGTTCAACTACGGGTTCTGTTGCTTTAACAGTTCAAACATGGGGATGCTGTTGTATTGTTGATTATTCCAGACTTATCCCAGATTGTTTCAAAACTCATACATTTTTCAGTCCCTCAGCATCTGTTTCCCCGCAAAAAAAATCATCCACTTGACATCGATTGAGCATCGATGTTAAATCTACCATCTCAATATCCCATTCAAAACCTATCATAATCCTCCAAAATGTTCCGAAACACCATCAAAACACGGGTAGCATGAAACGGACAGCCGCCTGGTCTGGATCGGCCCATCATGGTTTTCGTGTCCAAAGAGCACCCGCGCCGCGTCCTGCACCCCGGGAGATGCAAAGGCGATGGCCAGCGGTCGCGAGGCGATGGGAATCTGCAGCGCGACCATTTTGGCGATGCCACCGCCTAAGGAATGCCTTGGGGGAGCTGGAGCTTGGTGATAGGGCGGGCAAAAAAACACACAAATCATGGGCACACATATATATATATATATAATTCTTGCAATATGGGTTTTTGGTTACTGCTTATATAATACTGATTAATATCTATATATATATATGTTAATAACTAATATTGATCTTCAATGATATTTATGTATTTATTGGCTAATAGGCCTGGTGACTCACCAGCTCAACAATCATATCCAATCTGATTGAATGGGGTTTTACCAGGACATGGTCCGTCAGGAAAAGCATGGAACATGGCAGGCCTGAAGCAAATGGTAAGACACCCAGTGAGGAAGAAACGCCTGGACGGATGGGATTGGATCATTAAGTGTGTGGCTTCTAGCACGGACTTAAAGGTGTGGTCTGCAGCCACACGCGTTGACGGAAAGAGCTCAGCATACTCCGAAATCGATTTGCCCCAGTTTCCTCACAGCCGTCGGCTTACGGTGACGGTTATGAGTTTTCGTCAAGAAATTTGGAGGCTTCACCAGAAATGAGGCTTCAAACCTTAAAAACTTGCAAAGCGTAAAGCGACTCTTCAGTCGTGTTAGTCTGCCATATATTAAGCAGGTCATATGGGTGTGTCTGAAAATCGTGTACCCCTTTTTACCCAATGGTTTTGCTGATCATTATCCCTATTAAATGGCTATTTTTTGGGGAATATTGCCTATTTTCAGACAAACCCATATCATGATGGAAGGCCTGAAGCCGAAGGAGGGCTGGAACTCTCACCAGGATCTTGGAATGATCTTGGCTCCCATGGGCGATGTTGGGATTCCATGCTCAACTGCGGGGTTTATGCCATAGGCAGTATATCAGTATATAGATGTATATAGTAAGTAATGTCAAACATTCATCTGTTTGACAGGTGTGGGTTAGAAAATTTCCAGACAACAAACCTTTTGAGAGTTTGGCATCCAGTTGACCAGTTTATCCAACTGGCGCAGCTAGCGCACGTGTCCCATGATTTCCACCCCCTACGGCGCAGGGATGTCCAGGGCTCCGGTGGAAATGTCCGGCCCCAGCTTATTGAGGCCTTCCATCAAGGCGGGCACCAGCCACAAGGCCACGTCCTAGCGACTGCCCAAGTGGGTCTGGGCGACCTCATAGCTTTGTGTGTGTGATTGTGTATGTATATTATATACATGTATACAATAATATATATATATTATATATAATATATACATATATATGATATAAATATATATATATATAATGCGCGCAATATTATTTATATAAGATTGTATGCAAGTTTTATATTAGATAATATTACCATAGATCATGAGGTTACCTGCCAACTACTCAAAACTAATATCAAGTTCGATTCTTAGAGTCTGTGATCGTTTCAAATCAGGTTCAAATCTCACAGTGTGCTGTTCAAAACTGTTTGAGAGTTTTCATGATTTTGTCACTCACCGCATCTACCTGTACCTGCCAAAATGGATCAACAGCATAAGAAACCTCCAACTGCAAACCCCAGAAAGATAAGGTACCCTAAAATCATTGTGTGTAAAGTAATGTATGTAATGTATGTTATGTATGATGATCCATGAATTGGAATGTAACGTTCCAATCGTGACATTTGAAACAGAACATCCATGATTTGATTGGCTGCCCCGGGGCCCCGCACCTGTAGGACATCCAGGAAATCCAAAGTACCACGTACCGTGATCACTGTGGTGCTGTTGTCCTCCTTGGGGTAATTGTTTTCGACAGGGGGGTCAACTCAAGAGGCCCCCATCGGGGTTTCAACTGTTCCAACAAGCACAGAAAATATCACAGAAACGGGTGGTTCAACGAACAGAAACAATGGCCAAGTAAAAATATGGTATATAGTTGAAGCGACCAAATATTTGGCATCGCTTTCCAGTAAGTGGATGATGCTATCAGGTTTCCAGGCAATGGAGGGAAGAAAAACATAAAAAATCAAGATGTCCCCTAGAGTAGAATTTCAACGATATTTGACTCGCAAAGGGTGACGACTACCACATTGACAGGTAACATACAGAGAAATTGAACACCAAGACTGCAGAATGAAACTGACGCAATGTTCAACACTTGCTGTAACAATTGCGATGCACGTGTTGTTTCACTTCGCATCTGGTTGATTTGCACATTACATACCACTCTTCTTTTTTTTAAGAAAAAACTGACTAATTTGCATTCAAAGACTATTTTCCTCTTGGATGTGTCCAAAATCTAGCCTTAAGACCTCCCAGAAACACCGCCCAACACTGCTCCCAGAACCCAAACATCAGCAAAAAACCACGGGTGAAAACACATATTGAACTAAACAAATTCAACATGTCCAAAGCAATCCTTTGGGGTTGCAAATTCCAAGATGTGTTTTTTATGTCTACGAGCCATGGGGCGGAGGTCAACATCAGAAAGCGGGACCAGTCCATGACCCGCTGCTTTTCAGGGCGTTGTTCCACCCGCCAGCGGGGGAAGTAGTGGGAACATGCCTGGCCAATGGGCACATTTTTATTGTAGCGGCTGGTTTTGCTGGTCCAACTGTTCATCAATGTTACAGTGAGATATGTGATATGGATTGATGTGGTCGAATAGTGAGATATGTGATATGGTGAAGCCAGCGATCATCATCCCAAACGAAAGCTGAAACATCCAAGTGAGCACCAGATCTTAAAAGTATATCTCGGAAGATGAGTTACGCAAGCTCCATCTTTCCTGGATGAATTATAATGATTCACTAACTTGAAATATGGTGATTTGGGGATCATTCCCTATACTAACAGATAATTTTATATCATTCCAGTCTAGGGGCATACCCAATTTCATAAACATCTATTGGGGATGGTGACTACGACATCATAGGGAATCCACAATAGCTATATGATTGGGGATGGTTTATTATATATATAGGCCATAATAATCCAAGATTGTCCCATCATTATCCTATATAAATCCATGTTACAAAATTAATACCCTAATATATCCAAGTTTCATTGTGTTTGCCACATTACTATGTTTTTTTCATTTAGTATCCCATGTATGATTGTCCCATATTGTCCCATTATTGTCGGGTTTACCATTTATTACCGATAGATTATAGCTATTGTTGGAAATAATTTTCAAGACAATAAACATTGTATTATTATAGATAGCCATTATAGACCCAAACATACCTAAACTATTGGAATCTATCATTGGGGATTCCCTTTCATAACCATCTTTTCCGCAACGGTCACACCAGCACCGGACGTCTCCTCCTCAGCACGCAGGGGAGCTTCATAGCTCAAGGATGCCATCAGGGCGAAATCTGCCACGCTCAGCAGCTCCGCGGGCCTCCCATAAATGGCTGGCTTTTCATCAACCAAATGTGGGATTCCCTGGGATATCCCATAGCATGTGTATGTGTGAATATATATATATATGAAAAAAATATAAAAATCCAGAAAAATTGTATATACATTTATTTTTCAGAATTATGAAAAATCTATAAAGAAACTTGGGATTTAAGATGATTTAAGGAACATCTGGACTCCTTTGGATTGATGGGTTGAGTGGGTTGAATCAACTAAAAGGATAGGAATCTGATATTCACACCACAAAGGATTCCTGAAATTGAGGGGATTTCATCAACATATTTTAGGGGATCTTACCGGAAAGCATGTGAATGTGAACAAAAATTGGGGTTGAACGATTGGATGGTTCGGATGGGCATATAGCAGTTATATATAATATATATATATATATATATTTAGCAATGCTTATCCATTGGTTTCCTAGGTCTGCACTCTGCTGCATCAAACAACTATTTGTTGGTATCCTAAAATGGAGGCACCCCAAACTGGATGGTTTATATATGGTGGAAACACTTATTATTTGGATGATTTGGTACCACCATTTTAGGAAACCCCCTTTTGTACATTACATATATTCTGAACTCATGCTGTCACAATCCATCAACTACCTCTGCTACATGATGTTGCAACTAGACTGCTGTAGTCACGCTAGGCTATGAGCACAAGACCCACTTATTAATCATTGGGACATAATGGAGTACCCATTTGATATCATAACCATTTATATATATCCTATAACAACTTACATTATATATCCAGTTAAACCAGTTACATCCAAATCAGGGTATCGGTCATGGGTCATCCGGTCACCTGCATCCCCAACCGGTACCTGAGATCCTGCAAAGGTCCAGGACCGAAGCGGAAACGCAGCAGGCACAACGGCCACTCGGCCGAGCGGTTCACGTCCTGGGCGGGATGGCCACCATGCTTCGGTGTGGTTTGGTGCTGACGAAAAAGTGCGAATGTACTGTAGATATGGGCTATAGAAGGCTATAGGATGATAGGATGTGTACGAATATGTTCAAGATAGAACATGGATGAGATTCGATGAGATGATGAATAGCACTCTTTTCCATGTAACTCAGCCCACTGCAACTGTCTTAGTTCCAAGAATGCTGCGGGTGCCCACGGTGGCGCAGCAGCCCAGGTTGGCAAACCACACAATCCACCATCGACAGATTCACTCTACCCGGGAGAAAAAAAAACAGTAGTATGACATCATATCATTCTCAATCATTTACAAGTATGCACATTATATTTACTTTTTATATACATATAATGATAGGTTATTATAAACAAGTATAGTATATATATGTATATATATAATATACATGTGTGTGTATTACCAGACCGCAGATCAAAACTATATTTCAGGCACCTGACCGCAAAGTATGATGCTATGAGCCAACCTGACATCTTCCATGAAAACTCCCAAAAACCTGCCATTTCTTAAGCCACGCTTCTGGATGCTGCGGGATGGTCAGGAACTGCGGTTCCGTCTCCTCAGGGTGGGCAGCGGCCATCATCAATTTGCCCTTTTTATCGGAGTTCAATCTGATGTTTTTCTATTTCATGTTAGGTATTCACCAAAGATTAAAAACATGGACCCAATAACTCTCAATATCTCCACCGTCTCTGGGCCCCAAAAGGGGGGTCCAACCCATGGCCCCATGGCCCCATGGCCCCTTCGGCCCATCGGGCCCAGCAACGAAGCTAAAGGCACTCCAGCTCTCATCTTTCCAGAAGGTTCGGAGGGCGAAACAGGTCAGCAAAACGAAAAACATGTGAACCTCATCCGAAGCTCTAGCAGAGCTCCCTCTAGCCAGAACAACTAATCACACACATTGACATTGTATGTGTGACATATAACATATATATATATACATATACATATCTTTATTGTAAATAAATATGTACACACAATGTGCATTCGTATGAATACAGAAAATCGCATCCCAGCAAACTAATGATATCACAATGATTCCCAAGCAAAATAGGAAGCCATGTTGGGGGTCATTCCCCCAAATCCAAAAACCCTTGTTTCTGGAGGCTTGATCGACCCGCGAGGTCGCCACAATTTTTCGGCCTTGACAAGCCACAAATCCGAAGATGATAGCACCTGACACCCTGACCCTCTCGCCAGCTGAAGTACCCCGCTGAAATCCGAAATGCCGCAAGACGGACAAACACATGAAGATCAGCAGGTCTTTGAATGGATTTCCTTGGTGGTTGAAGCAGAATTACATGCATGTCATCTGTGTTTTCAGCGATGACACGCACGAACGTGTTTTTCTTTGGAATGCTGCAAGTCTCAGTGCTTTAGACTCTAATTGTATATAGGCTGTGTGAGGATAGTTGTTGAAATGCCCGGCAGGAACCGTGCTGTGCTTTGAAAAAAGAAGTAAAATTGATTAAATTTGTTGAAAACACAGTGAGAAATGTCCAGGAGCAAGCTTAACTGAACTTGTCGAGACTTCGTAGAATGTGGCTTGATTGGCTCTGTTGCCAGAAAAGTTGAGGAAGAAAATGTGCATCCACGGCCACCACGTGTTGAAGGAGAGCTTTCTGTAACCCGCAAGAACGTGCTTTTCATGAAAGGAAGAATCCTATCCATCAGCCGCTCCTCCCAGGAAATTCTGCGATAAAAGACGCCGAGAGTCCAGAGCAGGACGAAACCAGAACCATTGCCATGCCAATAGTGGTGATCAGCAATTCCACAAAGGCATAAAACCATCCTCCCAAAAAGTGAGGGATACACAACTGGGACAAGGATCAATCTGCAGGATCCTATCTATCTAACATAACCTAACCTAACAAACGTAACCTAAACTATTCATTCTGAGTATCATTCTATCCATCTATATAATCTCATCTCAGCTCAGCTCAGCTCATCTCATCTATCTAGCTAGCTATCTATCTATCTATCTATGTGATGTTGTAATCCCAAATCTGGTTGCAAGACTTGTTTGATTCTCTCTAAGTCAACCAGATCAACGTTGAACGCTTCGAACAGTCCTAAGCTCCCTTCGGCTTGCAACCATAGAATGCGGGTCATCGCAAAAGTCAAAAGGGTTAGGCAGGTGATGGTCAAAGAATGGAAACCTTGGAAACTCCGCAGTGCAAGATTCATAAAATGGCGTGTGTTTGACTCGATCAAAGCTATGTGCAGGAGCGTTCCAGACACATTGGCACACATCTTCCATGCATTGCGCTCAACTGCGCACCCTGTGGAAAGCCACCATGGAACCTTGAAAAAAAAGTCGTCTTAGTTTGAGCCCAGCTTCCAAAAGCTCCAAAAATAGCGGCAGAAATACCCAACATCACAGTGGAATGGTATCGGTGTAGAACCTGTGCTTGAAACCCAAGATTGCACCATTTCTCCGCCCACTCCTGAAGCATCTCTGGGCACGGGAAGTAGCGATGAACGCTTTCCGGGGCGCAGGCGTTCTCCTCGTCGTTTCCCCAGCTGTGCCAGGTGAGGATGGTGATGAAAAGCAGCAAGGCACTCCACACGCAGCCGACCACGATCAGACCAGGCCGATGGAAGATGAAACCCAAAATCGCCGCTGCAATGCCACTGAAAATAGGCATCAAAGACTGCAACCACTGGAAGATGGTGCAGCAAAGGACGCAAATGGATCCTGGTAATGGGCATTTGCAAACCCACAGAAGGCAAGTCGGTCATGGGGGAGGTACGGTTTTAGAGTTTTAGAGGCAAAACACGTGAACAAAATATCAAACCATGTCCAACCACTGACTGGCCATTTGTTTGGTTTAACCATAATGTGTATTAATGTGTTTTTAGCGGTCAATTACACGCCCGAACACTAATATGTACTAATATGAGACATTTATTGCTGTCCATTGCATCCAAGTTCGGAAAATAATTCCCACACCCAATGTAATTGTGAGGCTCCATCTTGGCTTTCAGAAAGTTGCCCAATTTTGACTCATACTTTTTGGTACCATACACTATACATCTAAGCTCTTAGAAGCGGGTGTTTCTCAACATTTGGGCATCCCAAGTCACCATTGCTTTCTCAATCAGAAAATGACCATTACAACACTTGGATGCTAACATGGAGCCCATCTTTCTGGCACATTTCCAAGTGCCCCATTCTTGATATGTTGATGAATTAATTATGTTGGGGGTGACTTGTCTTGAAGTCATCCAGCTTCTCACCCAATTTCCCCCAAAATTCCCAGGGCCCAGGGTATCCCAGGGTCGTTGTTCTGCCGCATCGGAGACCACCCGACTCTTCGTTCGTGTCCAAGTGATCTGCGCACTCACCTCCGAAGTGCTGAGATTCCGAGCCAGGACCCAGGCCTTGCGGAAGCCGCGGAGCTTCAGAGCTACTTCGCCGTGGAAGGAAAGGAAGTAGAAGGCCTGGGGCGCTATGGGATGCTATGGGATGCTTTTTTGAATGGTTAGGGATGGTTGGGAATGGTTAGGGATGGTGAATTCGGGATGTTGGGAGCTGCATTTTATCGATTTTTTGTGTGACCAACTTGAGGATCTTGAGGCAGAAGGCATGTTTGATATTTTCGTGACCAATTTGAAGCTTTGAGAATTCAAGTTTGGAAATAAACCAACTAAACTTAGGATTTGTTTGATTGTGTTGATAGCGGCTGAGTCACCGAATTTGTTCCTCTTTCAAGCGAAGGCGGCCAACGGTCATTCCCTGGCGTCCCTCGTTGTCTCAAGTTCAATTTCAGGCTGTACTGTTGGCTGGAACACCTAGAAAACTCCCATAAACTCCCTAATGTCAACCCTGGATTAATAAACCCCTAGATTGTTTAATTGGGAGGGTAACTAATTTAAACCAGGGTTTATTAATCCGGGGTTGACATTATATGGCTCATGAAATTAGGGGAACTATCAGGTTCTAAACCAAGACCCTTCGCTCCCGCCCAGGTACCAAGATGTGAAGACTGCCAATGGCCAAGCACAGTTTCCGCACCGTGATGGGATCAACTAGCCCAAGGCTCCCAATGATGAGCCCCGTAATTGGAATTAGGTTCAAGGTCAAATGAAGCACCAATTGGAAGACAATGTCGCCTGTTTTACGACCATGGCTGGAATCACACCAGTTGGCTATAGTTGGCTGGGGTCTTCGTGTGTCAAAGGATTATGTAATACGATCATGAAAAGTATAAGACCTAATCCAGTGAAAAAACGCATTTTACAAACGACCCAAGTCCCATGCTTCTGTCGTGGAAATTCCTTGGAGGATAAATGATATATGGAAGAATCAGAGGAACAACCGGATTGTTACCCTCAAATCTGAGGAAGTTTCCCTACACCTTTGCCTTTCACCTAATTCTTGGGAAATTGGCTTGTCAATAAAGGATCTATCACCATTTCCCCCGTTAAAGTTGCAATTTTGGGGTGTGTACCCACTTTGCGGACAAACCCTCTACCACTAAATCCGAATCTTAGATATTGAAACCACATTTTTCATGCTTTTCAAAAATGTCTTCAAAGCCCCCATTTCTGGCAAGGGCCTGTTTTCTGCCATTTGCTCAAGGACATGGACCAGCTCCGGACGTAGAATTCTCCTGCATCAAGTTCACCCCAGGCATCCGACCTTGGTGCCGGGCCATTCCGAAAACCAAGTTGCAACTTGGATCATCTTTACAAGGCCCTTGACAACAATCGAGACAGTGAGACACATATACCAATATAATACCCATTTAAATTATGTATTGATTATACATTCATATATGGAATATCTATATACAGTATATATATATATATACAATTCTTGTACATACATGTATATCATTGTATATATGTAAATAATTGTAAATATAGAGTAATATCACTTTATGTACACATGTGAAAACAATATATTCAATACAGAAGCAAATCATGCATAAATAATCAATCAGACTTGTGATTGAACATGCATGCCTAAAGCAACCGTTTATGTGCATACTTCTTCTGATACGCTTGAATACCGCTTGCACGGGCCATCCCATCTATCTAACAAGAAAGGGGCAGGGGGACCACATCGACTTCCCAAATGGGCTTGTCTGTAAGAACAGGATACCTGGGTACCTCAAAATCCAATGGTTTATCATGGTTTGTCATGGTTTGTCATGGTTTATCAAAATGTTCACACATTGTCCCACTTAAGACCGTCAGACACCGTCAGTCCCAGTCACACCACCAGCCTGCGATAGGCCTCAAAGGCGTCCGGTCGCCATGCATCAATCATCAACAAATATGCAAAGCGCAGGAGATCGGCGGATACCGACAGCACGATGCAGGAGCGGAGGAACACGCCCATGAATTCCTTGCAAAAGACGATGAGGGGAATCAACTGACAAAGGATGAGGTGCTGGGGCCCAACATCGTTTCCGCATGAGCCATGTACAAGAACATCATGATTCCTGATTTGGAATTATTCTTTTGTACATCACGAGCTCTATGAATCAATCGATCCAATCCCAGAGGACCATGGGCTTGTCACCAAGCAAGTTGTTTTTTTGATAACACCTTTGGAAGTCAATTAGAACTGGCTGACATCCAACAAGGTGAACTAAGTTGAAGCATCATGAGTCATCATGATTCTCCCTCTAGCGCGATTGCCCGGTCCCTGGTCAAAACAGGCAAGCACCCACTCTTGCAGAGAAAACCAACGCAAAAAGGTAGTGAAACTCAGTGAATCTCCTTTATGTTCACATGTTTCCGGTGAAGTCCTTATTCTTGGTGAGCCCTGAGGGCTAAAATCTGGTGAATAAATAATGAATAATATCACCCACTTCGGGGTTGACATCATCGGCTGCCTGAACAACATCAACTGTGAACGCCCAGACTCCACCGACAGTGTGAAGCTACAGCACTCCCGGAAATCTTCGTAATGAATACTACCTCAGCTGCAGGGAGAGCTGACAAAAAGAACTCAAACATCATATGCAAATTTAAAGCCTGTTTAGGACATATAAAAACATACGGCACGATGCAATTCCTATCGTCATACGTCATACATCACTGATAAAAAATGTCAGGCCCCACCCACATCAAACGTCGCAGAGCTCAGCGGAGCTGCCAGCTGCAAACCAGTCAGAGTAGAAGAAGAGAAGCGTCGTACAGCAGTTGATGAAAATCAGGGTCCCACCTCACACTTGGAGTCCAGCTTGGGATCTTGGGCCCCCCATGGTATTCGATTGCTCAGGATAGTTTCGGTCAATTTGCAGGTCATTTCTTCACGGGGTCCTTTCTTAGCAGAGGAAATGCATTTTGGTTGCTTTGATTGCGATCTTGGGTCAAATCCTCGGTTTTGGAACGTAAGCCAATATCCCCCATTTTGGTTGGTAAAAATGTGTAAAAATCCTGGTCTTGGTTGATTTCTGATGATTTATGTGGGCCCTACCCGTCCTATCCTGTCATTCTTGGAGGAGCATCTTGGAGCCAAGTCGCCAGCTAGAAAAAGGTAACCTCGGGCGACGACAGGCGCTCAATCTACTGGTAACCACACCTCGAACCTGCAATGAAGTGACTTAAATGTATTTAAATGTGCTATGTTTACGCTATGTTTCTACAGATTTCTTCCAGTTTTCAACTGACTTCAGGAACAAACTGAGAGAAATTCTAGAAATTGACCCTCTCAAAGTGAACAACCACAATTCGCGGCCGGCGAGTGCCCTACGGTGCTGAAGGTGAAATGGCCCCAGGTGGGGATCCAGGCGCCAATGCACAGCGCCAAACGGTGCCAACCTGGGAAATCGTAGGGGATAGGCTGGATAGGATACAAACATCATACATATTTAACATCATATAATGGGATTATAATTGGATAATCATCAATAATGGGATTATAGAATAATAGTGGTTATAATACCAATAATTTTGATTGGTGGTTCGACCCCTCTGAAAAATATGTGTTCGTCAGTTGGGATGATTATTCCATATTATGCCCAATATGTGGAAATATAAAATGTTCCAAACCACCAACCAGATATTTAACACCATACATATGTTAACAGCATTTAGTTTATCATGACCATGGTGATGTATAAAAATATCATGCCAACATGAAATGCATAATGTTTTTTCAAAGTCATTGAATTTCATCCACATGTGTGTATATATATATATACATGTGATGTGTGTGCGCGCATATATATATGTATATGTGGGTGCATATATATATATGTGTGTGTGTGCGTATATACATATGTATGTATGTCTGTCTGTATGCATGTATGTATGCATGTAAGCAGATAAGAATATAGAAGAGTTCGTCCTGATTATCAGAGATCAGAATATATAAATCACATGACTCATTATTGCCAGGCAGGTGACAAACCCAGACCCTTGCAGGCCTGCCAGGCAGCACCCAGCATTGGTGAATACGATTTCTTGGATGGGCCATGAGGATACTGTAGTGAACTGGTCAGAAAAGGGTTTTAATGGGTTAAAACCCAGCTTTCGCAAATGGCAGTATAATGATTGTGTAATATTGTGTAATCAAAAGTGCTGCTGAATGCTGCTGAACTTTACCCTTTTCCAAAGTCAAAAATACCAGTAGTACCCGCACGAGGCGGGGCGGAAGTTGCCTTAGGGATATACTATAAGACATTATAAGACCTTTTTCATCTATAGAATTTGCATGCGCCGTGCGCCAGCCAGGCCCGTGCGTGCGTGCTTTGTGTGAAGCTGTTGCACAGATGTTGTCCAAGAACATGACCTGCGCACGACCCCGGCGCAATGCAATGCCAAGCGAACACTTTCCTCACACTTCATACTGCACCCTTCACACTTCACACTTGCACTTCACACTCCGCACTTCATCTCATCTCAGATCATGTGAACTCTTCTCACCTCATCTCAGCTCTTCTCATCTCATCCCATCTCCTCTCACATGTCATGTCAGAAAGTTCTTCTCAACTGTTTTCATCTCATCCGAGCACTGATCAACCTCTCTCATCTCCTCGAAGTTGTTCTCAACTCATCTCAGCGGTTCTGCGCGCCAGAAAGCTCTTACTGTCAGAGAGAAGTCTCTTGCACCAAAAAAACGATTGGGCGCAGACACTTTCGCACACAGAAGCTTGAGACACAGATGCATTTACACAGAAAAGCCTTTAAATACGTTGTACTACAAAGCTTGCACAAAGCAATTCCCAGTGCTACTTTGTACTACAAAGCTTGCACAAAGCACTTCCCAGTACTACTCTGTACTGCGAAGCTTGCACAAAGCACTTCCCAGTACTACTCTGTACTACGAAGCTTGCACAAAGCACTTCCCAGTACTACTTTGTACTGCAAAGCTTGCACAAAGCACTTCCATGTACTACTTTGTACGACAAAGCTTGCGCAAAGCACTTCCCAGTACTACTTTGTGCTACAAAGCTTGCACAAAGCACGTTCCAGCACTACTTTGTACTACAAAGCTTGCACAAAGCACTTCCCAGTACTAGTTTGTACTACAAAGCTTGCACCCAGTACTACTTGGTACTACAAAGCTTGCACAAAGCACTTCCCAGTACTACTTTGTACTACAAAGCTTGCGCAAAGCACTTCCCAGTACTACTTTGTACTACGAAGCTTGCGCAAGCACGCCCCAGTACTACTTTGTACTACAAACCGTGCACAAAGCACTTCCCAGTACTACTTTGTACTACAAAGCTTGCGCACAGAAAGCTTTTACACACAGCAAGTTCTTTCGCAGAGAAGCTTTTACACACAGCAAGCTTTTTAAACCGAGAAGCTTTTACACACAGAAGCTTTTACACACAACAAGCTTTAACACAGAGAAGCTTTTCCCCACAGCGAGCTTTCACACACAGCAAGCGCTTACACACAGAACACTTTACACAGAGTGCTTTTACACATGGCAAGCGTTTACACACGCAGAAGCTTTTACACAGACAAGCTTTTACACACAGCAAGCTTTTGCAGAAAATAGTTTTTACACAGAGAAGCTTTCTTGTACAGAATGACAATAGGAATTGGAGCTCCAAAACCTCGACGCCAAAGCGAAAAAAATACGATTTTGAAGCGCTTTTAAAAAGGACTTTTAAAAAGAAAATTGCTAGCGCCAAAATTGAGAAAATCTGCTGACAAATCACTGTCGCAGCCTTGATGCAGCCACTCCAATACTATTTACGAGATCCAGCTCAACATTCATGCAGCCATTACAATGCGTTTTGCAGCATCACGTGGCTTACCCGCATGTATCTACGCACATGGCAACAGAGCATGACAACAACCATGCAGCCATTCCAATGAGATCTGCAACCAGAGCTTCAAGAAACAAACTACGCACACAGGAACAACCACCCGTTGCAGAACACAGAGGAGGAACCAATTCGCGCATGAAACGACCCCAGCCGCACCCGCCGCACACACGAGGTACCTTTCATCACCGGCTGCAGCCACTTTGCACGGAAAAACCCAAAACAAAGCCCATGCAACATTCATGCAGCCATTACAATGCGTTTTGCAGCATCACGTGGCTTACCCGCATGTATCTACGCACATGGCAACACCAGATGATAACAATCATGCAGCCATTCCAATAAGATCTGCAACCAGAGCTTCAAGAAACGCATAAAACCACGCAAACAGGAACAACCACTCGTTGCATCACACAGAGGAACCAATTCGTGCATGAAACAACCCCAGCCGCACCCGCCGCACACACGAGGTACCTTTCATTGCCGGCGGCAGCACCTTTGCACGGAAAAACACAAGGTTTCGTTCTCCGGCTTCCTTCCCAAAACAAAGCCCATGCAACATTCATGCAGCCATTACAATGCGTTTTGCAGCATCACGTGGCTTACCCGCATGTATCTATGCACATGGCGACAGAGCATGAAAACAATCATGCTGCCATTCCAATGCGATCTGCAACCAGAGCTTCAAAAAACGCATAAAACTACGCAAACAGGAACAACCACTCATTGCAGAACACAGAGGAGGAACCAATTCGCGCATGAAACGGCCCCAGCCGCACCCGCCGCGCACACGAAATACATTTCATCGCCGGCTGCAGCCACTTTGCACGAAAAAACAGAAAGTTTCGTGCTCCCGCTTCCTCCCCAAAACAAAGCCCATGCAACATTCATGCAGCCATTACAATGCGTTTTGCAGCATCACGTGGCTTACCCGCATGTATCTACGCACATGGCAACAGAGCATGACAACATATGACAACAATCATGCAGCCATTCCAATGCGATCTGCAACCAGAGCTTCAAGAAACGCAGAAAACTACGCAAACAGGAACAACTACTCGTTGCAGAACACAGGGGAACCAATTCGCGCATATTCGCGCATGAAACGACCCCAGCCGCACCCGCCGCACACACGAAATACATTTCATCGCCGGCTGCAGCCACTTTGCACGGAAAAACAGAAAGTTTCGTGCTCCCGCTTCCTCCCCAAAACAAAGCCCATGCAACATTCATGCAGCCATTACAATGCGTTTTGCAGCATCACGTGGCTTACCCGCATGTATCTACGCACATGGCAACAGAGCATGACAACATATGACAACAATCATGCAGCCATTCCAATGCGATCTGCAACCAGAGCTTCAAAAAACGCATAAAACTACGCAAACAGGAACAACCACTCATTGCAGAACACAGAGGAGGAACCAATTCGCGCATGAAACGACCCCAGCCGCACTCGCCGCGCACACGAAATACATTTCATCGCCGGATGCAGCCACTTTGCACAGAAAAACAGAAAGTTTCGTGCTCTGGCTCCCTCCCCAAAACAAAGCCCATGCAACATTCATGCAGCCATTACAATGCGTTTTGCAGCATCACGTGGCTTACCCGCATGTATCTACGCACATGGCAACAGAGCATGAAAACAATTATGCAGCCATTCCAATGCGATCTGCAAGCAGAGCTTCAAGAAACGAACGCCGCACACAGGAACAACTACTCGTTGCAGAACACAGAGGAACCAATTCGCGCATGAAACGACCCCAGCCGCACCCGCCACACACACGAGGTAATTCATCGCCAGCTGCAGCCACTTTGCACAGAAAAACGCAAGGTTTCGTGCTCCGGCTCCCTCCCCAAAACAAAGCCCATGCAACATTCATGCAGCCATTACAATGCGTTTTGCAGCATCACGTGGCTTACCCGCATGTATCTACGCACATGGCAACACCAAATGACAACATATGACAACAATCATGCAGCCATTACACGCGTGTATTGTTATGTGATGTCAAGTCTCACACCACAGTCTCACACCGCCCTTCATAGAGTGTATTCTTATGTAATGTAAAGTCTCACACCACCCTTCATTGAGCGTATTGTTTTGTGATGTAGTGTCTCACACCACCCTTCATTGAGTGTATTGTTATGTGATGTAGAGTCTCACACCACCCTTCATTCAGTGTATTGTTATGTGATGTAGAGTCTCACACCACCCTTCATTGAGCGTATTGTTATGTGATGTAAAGTCTCACACCACCCTTCATTGAGTGTATTGTTATGTGGTGGCAAGTCTCACACCACAGTCTCACACCACAGTCTCACACCACCCTTCATTGAGTGTATTGTTATGTGATGTCAAGTCTCACACCACAGCACCACCCTTCATTGAGTGTATTCTTATGCAGTGTACAGTCTCACACCGCCCTTCATTGAGTGTATTGTTATGTGATGTAGAGTCTCACACCACCCTTCATTGAGCGTATTCTTATGTAATGTAAAGTCTCACACCACCCTTCATTGAGTGTATTGTTATGTGATGTAAAGTCTCACACCACCCTTCATTGAGTGTACTGTTCCGCGATGTAAAGTCTCACACCACCCTTCATTGAGTGTACTGTTCTGCGATGTAAAGTCTCACACCACCCTGCATTGAGCGCATTCTTATGTGATGTAAAGTCTCACACCACCCTTCATTGAGTGTATTGTTATGTGATGTAAAGTCTCACACCACCCTTCACTGAGTGTATTGTTATGTGATGTCAAGTCTCACACCACTCTTCATTGAGTGTATTGTTATGTGATGTAAAGTCTCACACCACTCTTCATCAGGTAAAGTCATCTGTAACTCGGAAGATTGCTTCCCAACTTCCTTTGATTAATTAAGCAATCAATCAGCTATCGGACTATCATGATCATCGACCATCACTTCCGAATCTGCACCTAACAGCCCTTTCAGTATCACGTCATTGGCCCATAGGAACCCCTGGAACGAGCAGCAACTGATGTTCTCCGCCTCATCTTCAGAGGATTCCACGTCAACTTCCAGGCCACTGCTGCGGGTGGCGTTGGTGAAACTGCCGGTGGAACGGGCTTCCACCGCAGCTTGGGACAGGGCACGCAGCATAGCGCAGCATCCGAACCGGACATCTCAGGGAGGGCCTTTGGGATAGATTGTGGTAGATTCTTAGGTGCCAAGTCTAGCATGAATTGACGGTGGAGTTTTTGGTGTTCAGGGTGTCAACTTGTGGTATTACTGTGGAATTTCTTAGGCATGTCTGAAGTTTTGGGACGCGGTTTGCATGAAGTGCAGCATAATCTCACCCTGCCCGGTCATCGGGGTTGGAAAGCACCACATTCAAGTGGGTGTTCAGGGTCTATGTTCTCTACGTCAAGGGCAAGCCCCTACTTTCTTCAAGCCACACATTTTCAGACGCCTTGCGGACAGGAAAATAGGTGGAAACTGGCAGAAATACTCAAAAGTCAGTAATCACTAAGTACCACCTAATCAACTATCTAACTTCACAATATATCATGATGCTGATTGAGATTCAACGAAAGCCCAGCCAGGGTGTCACAAACCATCTGCTATCTTTTCTGCCTCTATCCCTGAAGGCTTCTTTGGCCAGGGCGGGGCCCCTTGCACCATTGTGGCCGAAGGGTTCTGCGTTCCGGCGCTAGGAAGGGGACTGAATTACTCAGTTGAACGTGTTCAAGCAGCTGATGAAAATGATTGAAAATGTCATGTTGATGTTGATCTTTGGATATGGGCAGCTTTTGTTGGGAGGCTTTGGCACATGATAAATTGAAAGCACCAGGAGCTTTCGTCCTGGTGCCTGGACTGCCTGGATTTTGCTGAGATCCCAAGCCTCCGTGAGACAAGCCTGGCTTGATTTCTTCCCAAAACGATTTTGAGTCATAATTTGGCGCGTCATATGATGGCGCCATAAGAACTACACAACATCCTATACTGTTGAGGACTGATTAGAGTTTGTAGACTATATTTCTAGATGATTTAATCTGACTGGTTTTCAATCACCCGTATTTTTTCATTGGGAATCCTCATCCCCGTCGAAATACAGTTGTTGGCACGGGCAAGATTTAACCGAATCTTGCAAAAACCACGCTTTAACCCATCCCGACATGATTGATCTACATATTCTTGGAGGAATTATCTCCATATTTAGGATTAAGATCTATACCTGAGGATGATTGATCCAGTGTCACCTATTCAGACCCAAAAGATCATATGGTTGGTCATGTATCCCGATATATCTAATCAATACACGTTAAAGAGGAGTAATCTATCTTTATGGATATATTACAGGCTTATCAGGTTTATTAGATATGTATAGATGTGTCTAGATATGTATTACTAGTATCAATCATATTAACCGTTGGATAACTATGCAATTTTATCCCTGTTGTCGGATAAATATCCCAGAAATTATTAATCAACAATTGCTGATCATATATCCCATATTATCCCTTTACACTCCGGCGATCAAAAACCTGGCAATGTAAAAATAATTTTGAAATGGACCATTTACAGATCATTTTTACTGTACTTCTTACACGTGGTGATGTTCCATAGCTGTCAGAGGGTGTGTATATATATATATATACGTATATATATAACCCATTACAACCCACTAGGACCCATTGAGTCACCATTTTCCATGTACATCCCATTATAACTCCCGCTATGTTAAAATACCGAATGACCTCATATTAATCACCATAATTGTTAAGTATACCTTTATAATATTCATCATTGATTGTTGGCCATAGATCACATCTTATCTCGTGATATTCGGATAACATATCATAACATACTGTATATATACCATCTGGCTATTTAACAGTTCGCCATGGAAAATCACCATGCTATTAATAGGTAAACCATCTATTTCTATGGGCCATCTATACCATGGCTATGTTAGTCATAACTCATAACCATTATTATTACTATAGTACTAGTTATATAATATATTAGATAACTATATATAACTATATATAACTATAGTACTTTATATAACAATAGTAACATTTATAGTACTAGCCAGTATTAGCCAGTATATAATTACCAGAGGGTATATATTCCATTTCTCCTGCCAGGTCTACCTCCGGAGGTTCCTCAGATCTCAGCAAGGCGCCTCAGGAGACCAGCCGCAGGGTACGGTGAGGTTTGCGTGCGTCATGGAGCCGCAGACCTTGAAGATTCCCCACAAGGTCCTGGCAACGGGCCGGAAAACTCGGAAAACCATGGGGATTGGTGGAAAACCATGGGGATTTTTCAAGTCTTTAGCGTCTTTACCCTGAAAATATACAGTTTCAGGTCTTGCAGGTCTTGCAGGTCCTGTAGATGCTATGGCAATCGTAGGCTTTTCCCATGCAGGGCGCAACCACGGAATTTCCTGTGTCCAAATCAATGTGGGAGACGATGTCGTGCATTGGCTTCACCTTAGGCTGATGACATTGGATGATGTAACGGATGCCTGGCAGAGAAATGGATACCAAATGGATAGGAAATCTATAGAAATCTAAAATCAATGTTCAACATCATCAATCACATCCTTGTGTGTGTGTCTGTGTTTTTGTTGGCCGGTGTTTCCAGCTCTCTCTCTCTCTCTCTCGCTCGTATTTGTGTTGAAGCTAAAAGTAAATCTGAAAATCGCCGTCATTTGGGATGGTTGAATCCATATATTCAATGTTGGCTGGCATTTCCTCAAAAAAAAAAAGGAGATGCCGGCCATCAACCAGGATGAACCCATACTATCAAATGCAACTTGTTTGGCAAAAATAGTTGTTTCATGTTGTTTCCACATATTTTTCGATGGTTATTCCCACCAGAATATGATGACCTTAACCAATACTCAATTGTCATGGTCATTTCCACAAATGTCGATCTTTCGATTGTTATTAATTACGTGCTATTCCTTTAAAAAGACTGTAAAGACTGTAAAGCACCCTTAAAATTGGTAGATTTCCACCCCAAAAATCAAGATCGCCTTAACCATCCCATGTTTTACATCTACCCCTGACCCCAGCACCGGTGGGTCAGCCGTTGCAAGCGTTGCACCGTTAAGGTGGTCAAGGACTCACTCTCCAGCTTGTTGTGCAGCTCCTGATGCAGCTGGCCCAGCAGCACCCGCGCCGCGTGGTGGATGCCCGGGGCGGCGAAGGCCACGGTGGTTGGCACGTGCAACGCGGCGCTCAACTTCCTTGGGGACGGGATGGGGATGGGATTGGGGGGGGATGGGAATCCCTTAGAAAATGCCAAGCACAATAGATGGGGAAAAGGTGGACACCTAGAGTTTGGAGTGAGTTTGGTTCATAAAATTCGTTGGACACCATTTTTTTAAATGAAAATTGTGAGATAGATTGATTGTGGTAAATGAATATAATCTGTAGTGGAAAGCAATTCTTGCCGTCAAACGGAGAGGCTTACCATGAAGTTACAGGATCAAAGAAAACCCAGCAGATTTGGATGGAGACAAACTTAGGAAAACCAATGGCATGGTGCTCATTTCCCCTGGAAACCTTGGAAAACCACTTAGGACGGCCGATGGCCTGATGGCCCAAGGATATGTAGAGATGTAACATGATGTAACCAAAAATGCAACCGCTAAATGAACAAAACTACCATCCTAAAACATAATAACCAAATTTGGGCGTGAGTCATTGTGGGCTGAATTGCTGAACTTGAAACGAATGCGTTTTGAAAATGGTTCCACAATGTGGGCTTCAAAATGAAAATGTTGTTGTGGGGCACAATGTTTGCCATGCTGGCCAATACAGGTCACTAGTCCAAACTTAATGAGTCTGTTTATATATAGATCTATCCAGTACCCTCTGGTAATCAAACATGGCTAGCTGGGAAATCCTCTATTTGTATTTATAGATGATTTTCCAAGCTATAAACCTCCATTTATATAGTGCGGGGATTCGTTGATAAACCACGAAAAGGAACGGATTAAGACCCACGGTATGATGGTCACTGCCTGTGGTCAACGTCATCTCACCATATCTCACCAGCAGTGCTCAAAACCTTCCGGGAATGTTCGTCTGCTGCTGTTTTTTGATATGGATTCCCAGTTCGTGGCCTCAAACTGATAACTTATAACTTAGAACATCTTATAAGTATCAGCCTGATATATCACTAAACATCACTAAACCACATCTCAAAAATCACGTTCTTATTTTTCACCCATCAACCATCCGGCCCTGGACCTTGGGCCAGGACCAAGGCTCAGAGCCACCAATTTGGCAACGCCACCCCCCAGGGAGTGGCCTGTCAAGTAGAAGAGCCGCTCAGGATATGTCCTCCTTGGCGCGTCCCGGGGCTTTGACGAAATGAGCCAAAGAAGCCACTTGTGGTATACCCTGGAAATGGAACATGGCAACCAAGATTCCCGATGTTTCGGCAGGAACATCTTCTATCATGGGCGATTCTACATTGACAGGTTTACACAGAATACCAGAGAGTATGTAGGAAAAATCCTATAGGATCAACAATGTAACTAGCCAGAACTAAGTGTTTTGTGGTAAACCGGCAGCAACCAAAGACCCTCAAGTCTGGACCCTGGTGGTTGCGAGGCAGTCACTCAAACGAAGGGTCACCCAAAGAGTTGCCCAATGGCACTTGAAGTTACCAACCAAAGTAATTATACTGAACAAATAGAAACATCACAGCCTGGGTGAGTTAAATTTAATACTGACACTACTTCATGCTCGTCGTTACACCCCTTTATACCCTTGGTCAAAAATAATCAAAATAACTGGCAAATGGACGTTCATCCCCGCGGGTACCAAAACGTGCCCAGACACATCATGAACTCCGCCGCTTTCAGCACTGAGGAGAACGAGCGATCCGGATGATCGGAGGACAAGGGCACTAATCTCGAGAGGCCTCCCGGGCTGGGGCACTTTGAACATGTTGGACCCTCGTTGTTGACAGGCCAACGAAAGCGATCATCATTGGATTGGTTTGTTGTGAAGATTTACTGGGAACCATGCCCAAGATATAGTGTTCTTGCCATTGTTCCGTTCATCCAATTCTGGGAATCGCTGTGGCCCGCGTGTGTTTTGCACACACCCAGGACATTCCACTTCAACATGAGTTCACAGAGGATGTTGGATTCTACCACATCATATGCGGGAATCATTCGTGGGCGATTTCCAGTCATTCCCCTTTTGTCGGTAAAATCCATCATCACCATGACTGTGGGTAAAGAACATGAAGCATAGTAGCCCCAAACAGACTGAAGCAGTCAAATTCTACTACTTTTCAAACTGGTGGTAAATTACTTTAACTTTTCTATTGCTGCTCTATACGTGTCCCTACTTTTTCATCCTTTTTGGAGGTGTTATAATTATACTTGAAACTTGACTCGAATCCCGCCGAAACAGCGGCCTGAAATGGCCTGCCCCCAGGCCCCAGAGGACACGTCAGGGCCCAGGAAGTTGCAGCTTTGCATCAGCGCAGGCACCAGCCACAGTGCCACGTCTTGCAGGACATCCAACATATCCTTGGCGAAAAAGAGCTGTGAGATGTATCAATGGATTTGTTGAAGGGGAAACTATGTGTTTTTTCCAAACAGGTACAGTATATATAGGGAAACAATGGGAGGAAATGGGCATGGGAATGCAACAGGGGTTTCCTGCAAATTTTCTCTCTAAACCAACACATCCACATAAGGGAACCACCAAATATCTTCAAAAAATTGGCTTGAAAAATGGGGTAGCACCTTCCTTTTCTGGCACGCAGATGTGCGGCAAGAGATGTGCGGCAGGTGATGCCATGGTTGGAGGGAAACTTGGGGTCAGTCCACCACCTAATTATGAGGATTTCAGCAGCCAAAACGTGGGAAATTCACATGGGAATCTCAGCTGGTTGGATGGTGGTGGGGCCTGAAAAAACGGGCCGTAGACACCGGTAATATTGGTCAACACCTCTCTCCCGAAAAATGGCGTACCCACTTACCACTGATAGCAGTTTGATCCAGATACAATGGGTCATTCTTGGTGTTGAACTATCCGAGAGCCCTTCCAACCCCCCCTCAAATTATATAAATAGGCCCACAAGGACACCAAATTGAATATAAACATCCAGGCTAATAGGTGGCAATATGTGGCTAAACATCCAATATCTGTGACCAACACCTCCACGGCCATCATCCAAGGTGGATGAACAAGAATATTAGATGTTCGTCACTTGGTCGGGTGGATTGTCTTAAGTGATGCCAGACGTTTGGGGGTTTGGGGGACTAGCCGACTAGGCGGTTTTTCATCTGGGCCCAGCTTCCACCATCCTTAAAACATCCGTTTAACATTCCAAGACGCCAGAGTTCCACGCACCGCAATGACTGTGGTGCTGTTGTCCGCCGAAGTGAGCATCAGAAATCGGATCCAGTCCAAAGCTCTGGCAGATTCCGGCTGATGCTCCACTCGCCAACCGGGGAAGTAGTGCTTACAGCCCCACTCGAAGCGACTACGATTTTCGTACGTCAAGGAGGCCATCCTGAAGGATGGCCGATCAGTCGTCATCTATATATAGCTGTGGAAAAGCGGGATTTTTAATGACAGCAAAATGGTAGTAATCTCCATCAGTGGTGAAGGACTTTTGGCAAATCTGATGATTCCAAGGTGTTAGGCCATGATTTTTTAGGGAGGTGCAACTTTAAAAAAATCTGCAGCCCCAAAGCGCCTCAACAACTACCAAGCGTCAGTGCGAAATCGCCCAGACTCAATTGGTGGGGTGTATCATGTGGGTAGTGCTTGCTGGTAAAATGTTGCGGAGGGACAGCCGGCCGGCCGAGGCCCGAAGCGCCAAGAGGAAATCGTAACAAGCCTTGGATGTTCATATGAAGTTGTGGCGACAAACTCAAAAACACCTTTCAAAACAAATGCAAAAGGATGTGCAATATAATTTAACATATGTCCGTGTAATGAGTGCATGGGTCCAGTTGATGAGGGATACTGCAGGTACACATATTCTCCGAAAAAAAGGGAATGTTGACATAAATATAATGTATATACAATATTCATGTTCTAGTCTATAATTATTCCACAAGAAAAAAAATCAAATGACAATGCCGAGTGTAGTGGGAAATGCCTCGCACATCCACCAATTACAGGTGAAGGCGGAAAAAAAACATGCGCAAAGTTTCAGGCCAGAAACACAGTGGCAGGGTGGAGTTGGGGAATTGGAAGGGTGGGAAGGTTGGAATGGAGTAAAACTTGGTCTTATCAATGTCCGAGCCAAATGCACTCCAATCCTCATTCTTCCAGAAGCTCTCCACTGCGAAGCACACCAATACCACGAAAAGGAGATGGACGATTCCTGGGCTGAGGGTGAACATCGCATAGAGAATGAAGAAATCAAGTCACAAGTTGAGGGTTTAAACTTTAAGCCAACATGGTATGGAATTTCAAGCAACCATGGGTTGTAAGAAATCTGGTATTACTATAGTATCTGATGTTTGGACTAGGGGCCCAAACCACTGAGACCACAGTGTTCCGCCAGCCAGCTTGGAATGTTTGGACACCAACTCATTCAAAACCCCACAAAACTAGCCGGTAACAAGTTCAACCTTTCCTGCTGGGGGGGTTCCCGTCCACTCCATTTCAGCATTGCTGTGTCCGAGGTACCGAGGACGATGCTGCAGGCCAAACGCACTCTCTCCCCAGACCAGATTTCACGTTGGTAGCCGAACTGCCGCATGATGCACAAGATAAAGACCACCGCACCATCTTGCAACCCCTTCCTTAGGGGAATCCATCTATCATCATCTGTCTAAAACCTATATCTAAATAATGAACACAATCAAACACATCCAATCACATCCATCTCCGCAAACATTCAAACTATGAAGCTCCCGCCGAAGTTTCGTGGCATTCGGGCTGGTAACGGAGATCAGGAAGATCAGCATAATGAGTTCCACGAAGGTCTCGATGAAAGCCCAGAGCCAACCCATGGATCCTTCACAACCTGGGACAGCCATGGGCCGCTGCGACGCTATTGTCTGATGATTTTGAATGATCCAAAATGTGCTTTGAAAAAATGGGATGTCTGAAACATGGACAAAGGTGTGGTATATGCATGGTAGTACCCCGAAGTGGCGATATCAGATATTTTTTTAGAGACAAACCCATCCATTCACTGTCGGGAGGTGCTTGGTAACCCATGCCCACTTCCAGTTAATTGGTTATAGCCACCAGCTTTATTATATATGCCATATCATACCGATGTTTAGTAATTTCATCCCCCTAATTTTAAAGATATTACGTGGTATGTGGTTCCAAATATGAGTGAACAAATCCGCTACATCCATCATTTCTTGGGGGTGTTTCAGAATTGCCACAAAAAGTGGGGATGGGATTCATCTAGTTACTATAATTATAGCCTAGCTGGTTAATTAGAAACCACTAAGACTATATCCCCATTCGTAATTTCATAAATCATCATTTTTGATACCAGTAGTACCGCACAAGGCGGTGGCGGAAGTTTCAAAAATAGGAAACTTATAGGAGAGGTTGGTTGTTGTGAATCAGGGATGGGAGAACGAAGCGACTGATGGAGCGAAAGGTGATTGATCTCTTCTCTTTCTCTGACTATCTACCTACCTTCCTACCTATCTTTCTATCTATCTATCTATCTCTCTCTCTCTCTTTCATCTAATTACCTATCTATCTATCTATCGATCGATCTATCTATCTATCGATCTATCTATCGATCTATCTATCTATCTTTCTATCTATCTATCTATCTATCTACCTCTCTCTCCTTCATCTGTCTAGCTGTCTACCTGTCTATCTGTCTATCTATCTATCTGTCTACCTGTCTATCTGTGGTGCAGTGTCATTGAGTGTAACGTAGTTTAGTGTCATGTAGTGTGGTGCAGTGGAGTGTAGTGGAATGTAGTGTAGTGTAGTGTAATGTAGTGTAGTGTAATTTAGTGTTGTGTAAAGTAGTGTAGTGGAGTGTAATGGAGTGTAGTGGAGTGTAGTTGTGTAGTTGTAGTTGTAGTTGTAGTGTAGTGGAGTGTAGTGTAGTGTAATGTAGTGAACTGTAGTGGAAGGTAGTGTAGTGTAATGTGATGTAGTGTAGTGGAGTGTAGTGTAATGTAGTGTAGTGTAATGTAGTGTAGTGTAGTGTAGTGTAGTGTAATTTAGTGTAGTGGAGTGTAGTGGAGTGTAGTGGAGTGTAGTGGAGTGTAGTTGTGTAGTTGTAGTTGTAGTGCAGTAGAGTGTAGTGTAGTGCAATGTAGTGTAGTGTAGTGTAATCGAGTGAAGCGAAGCGAAGCGACATCTGAACCTCCAAAAGTGGTCCGAACCCCTAGTGATTTTAAATGTTTTTAATATTTTAGCTTCGAAATGTGCTTCGGGCCACAATGGCGTGCACTTTTTCGACATCTGAACCTCCAAAAGTGGTCCGAACCCCTAGTGCTTTTAACATTTTGACCTGGAAATGTGTTTCGCGCCACAACGGCGTGCACTTTTTCGACATCTCAACTTCCAAAAGTGGTCCAAACCCCTGGTGTTTTGTACATTTTCACTTGGAAATGTGCTTCGCGCCACAACGGCGTGCACTTTTTTGACATCTCAACTTCCAAAAGTAGTCCGACAATGCTGTGCTTTGTACATTTTAACTTCGAAATGTGCTTCGCGCCACAACGGCGTGCACTTTTTCGACATCTCAACTGCCAAAAGTGGTCCGGAGCTGGTGTGCTTTGGACATTTTGACTTGGAAATGTGCTTCGCGCCACAACGGCGTGAACTTTTTCGACATCTCAACTGCCAAAAGTGGTCCGGAGCTGGTGTGTTTTGTTCATTTTGACTTCGAAATGTGCTTCGCGCCGCAACGGCGTGCAATTTTTCATCTCTCATCTGGCCAGATGGCTCCGCACCCGCCGCTTTAGCGAGCCTACTTTTCGACCCTCCGGAACCACAAATCATTGGAAAAACACAGTGTTTCGCGACTTTCCTACCTTTTCGCGCATCTGAGCTTCTTTCTTCTGACTCTTTCTCTTCTCTGATCTTCTCTCTTCTACTCTTCTCTTCTCTCTGACTCTTCCCGTCTCTGCTTTTCATCTGTCCATATTGTCGGAAGTTTGACTTCTAAACTTCCTTCCATAATTAGTTAAACCCAATCAAAACATATTAATCCCTTCCTCCTAATACTAAACGTCCCCCTAATACTAAAAACAGGCATCCATCTCCAATTTCCGAAAATTTCAGTTTGGCCAATTTGACTTTTAATTGATCCCCTTTAAAAAACAATTCAAAAATCAACCTACCATTTGTGGGTTCTCCCCCTAATACTAAAAACTAATTCATCCCGGGGTGTTTAGTATTAGGGGGGCTAGTTTTTAGTATTAAGGGTTTTAATTTAGTATTAGGGGTAAGCTTCGAACTGCCATTTTTGGCAATATTTTAATTGCGTTATATAAGGAAATTTAATTGATTTTGAGATCGGAAAAAATAGTTTTTAGTATTAAGGGTTTTAATTTAGTATTAGGGGTAAGCTTCGAACTGCCATTTTTGGCAATATTTTAATTGCGTTATATAAGGAAATTTAATTGATTTTGAGATCGGAAAAAATAGTTTTTAGTATTAAGGGTTTTAATTTAGTATTAGGGGTAAGCTTCGAACTGCCATTTTTGGCAATATTTTAATTGCGTTATATAAAGAAATTTAATTGATTTTGAGATCGGAAAAAATAGTTTTTAGTATTAAGGGTTTTAATTTAGTATTAGGGGTAAGCTTCGAACTGCCATTTTTGGCAATATTTTAATTGCGTTATATAAGGAAATTTAATTGATTTTGAGATCGGAAAAAATAGTTTTTAGTATTAAGGGTTTTAATTTAGTATTAGGGGTAAGCTTCGAACTGCCATTTTTGGCAATATTTTAATTGCGTTATATAAGGAAATTTAATTAATTAATTAACATGACTTCGATTTGGTTCCCTAATAATAAATACCCCCCTAATACTAAAAACTACCTGCCGTGTTTTGTATTAGGGGGGGGGGTTTAGTATTAGGAGGAAGGGATTAATAAATCATAAATGTTCATTTTCGATAGCTAAATCGACATGTCCTTTGGCCATCTTCCATATCTTCCACTGAATTTTCGAGGGCTGCCATGGTCACCACCATCTCTCAGCGCTCCGGGCGAGCTGCGCATCCAAAGGATCCGGAAGAAGACCAGGAGGACCATGAACAAACAGGTCTCGGCGGAGGGGCTGAAAATCCTGGTACCCTCCAGGTATTCCGGGGGCAGCGGCAGATAAAATTCATGAGCATTCAAAAAAGGAAAAAAAAAACTATAGAATGGGAGATTTTGACATTGCTATGTTTGAGTATCCGGGTATGTCATGGTTGTCATGTTGGATTATTATTATATAATATTATATATAAAATACAAAATATGTATATATTAGATATATTGTATATATATATATATACATTATGTATTTATATATATAGTATGTGTGTGTGATGATATATTGGATGTTCGGAACATGTTTCTCTAGCATCACTTTCATACCCTTGATAGTCGTTGGATCACATCTTTATGCATCTTTGCTTCCTCATCACCAACCCCCAACGGATCTATCATTATGACATCCTCATCCGAGTTTGTTTGTTTGTCTGGACCTGTCGGGAGAGACTTACAATCCACTTCTTAATCATTATGTCTCCCTATCAAGATGGTAATAACCGTGGTAAACCCAGCTAAAATCTTCCATAAACCCGATTTTGAGAGGTGAGATCATGTGAAATCCCCATTTCACCCATATTTCAACTGCAGAAATCCTTACTTTTTACAGGGACTTTCCCACCCATCACCCTTTGGCCCATCAACCGAGGCGCCATAGCCAAGCCCCGGAAGCTGAAGGCGCCAAAGACCACGGCAGAGAAGGCGAGCATCAGCAGGAACTGATAGCGCTGGCGCTTCTGGGACTCGAAGCCCAAACCTGGGATGACGAAGTTGATGGGATGGGATGGCTACGCTAGAAATGTTGGGAAAAAATCTAGGTCCTAGGTGTCAATATCATGGATGGGATGGAAGTGTTGGGGTAATGATGGGATTATAATCTGTAAGTGATATCTTTTGAGTGAGTATCTAAGTTGGTGGGGGTTGATGGAAAGGGATGGGCTAGACATTTTTGGGGATAATGTTGGGATGATTGGACTATTGCAACTCATAGTGCGTTGAATAGTTTTTTAAAAAACTGAATTGATCTCTTGGAAAAGGAAAAACAACTGCATTTTATTAACCACATCAGTGATCTAATGATGGTTAATGATGGTTAATGATGGTTAATGATTTAACCACATCAAGTGCAACAACTGCATTTTTGGCTCCCCATCCGCATCCAAGCTACGACACCAGCGTTCGCCCCAGAGTTGTAAGGCCTCTGCGTTGGGAAACCACCGCGCCACGGCCCTGGGCTGCGGCCAGCGGCACTTGGCACCACCGCCGTTGGAAAGGCCGTTCTCGTCGTTAGGGGCGCGGGAGAATGCCTGAAGCGAAGTACGGGTACCCTCTGGTAAATTAACATAGACCCTGAAAATAAGCCATTTTTACTGGACACCAGCCTTCCAACCCCTATCTGCCAGGGTCTATGTTAATTTACCGGAGGGTAGTAGAAGTTCTTTTGTGGATGTTGCGCTACAATGCAAAGAAAAAGAAACATGACAGCAAAGTACAGATCAAGAATAGGTTTATTTGGCCAGAGGTTTTGTTTTAATTACTCTCTGACCCTCTGGTTGCTTCACATAGCTAGAATGACCTATTTATGGATGATTGATGACAATCTACCTATAGTAAAAATGGTGATATTGTTACTGTGAGAATCCCAAGAATCAAACCTACCATTTGGGGATTGTTTATGCATCCCATTTATGGTGATTTTGGGGTTTGCTTATTGTACAATAAACCAACCCCAAAATCACCATAAATGGGTGGCAGTTTGCCACATTGTATGTTTTATTTATGTGTATATTCACTTATAATCTTACAACTTCTAAGTGGGATTACAGTAAGTGGGACAGTTGCTGGATGAAGTATGATTAGCAATTTTGTGAACATCATTTGTGGTATTGAAATAAACCTATATGATCCTATATGACTATATAACTATATGCATATATATATATATAATATACACATACACATCCTCCTATTATTGTATCCTTTTGCAAGCGGGGATATTGCGGTACGAGCCGAATTGTTTTCATAAGTAGGAATTGGGCGAACCCAATCAGCGGCCTGGTTCTGGCACCCAATGCATTTACATTACATTGTCATGGCCCCAAATTTACTCCCCAACAATATCAACCAATCCACCAATACACCAGTACCCCGCACTAACCCCGCCAACAAAATGTTCTCTGGAAAAACACTGTTTGCTGCCGCGTCACCATGATAAGAGCTGACAGGAAGAAGAACATGCCGCCGCAAAGGGCAACATTGCTTTGATTGATGACAAAACCAACAGTCATGATGACGAGTCCCAAACCGATCGGCATCAGAAACTCCAACCTGGCGGCCCAACAAAGATCAGCTCCCAAGGGTTAAGAACTTACGACGCCTGGAGACTTGGGGATTGTTAATTGGCCATCATCAATCCCAACAATGGGGGATGTTTATTTAACCCCATTTTTTGGGGTGTAATTGAGGGATTGACCTTTAAACGTCCACTGTGTTAGTTTCCACCCACGTGAAGAATCATGACAGGCCATGACTTAGCCAAGCGGGAACATCGTGCCACGTAGGGATGAAAAATACACAAAAAAGTAGAGAGAGAAATAAAAATTGTGCCAAATCAGCCAGCAACCAGTGGAAGATGGTGCACAACAGCACACAAATGGAACGACCTCAGGCCCAACATCAGTGTCACCTGCATTTTCAAAGCAACACCTGTCACATGCTTGTGTCAACAAGCCTTCTCATAATAGCCGTTTGTTGGTGCAACTGATCATTTCAGACTACGTACGAGAAGCCCGGCTGCCACTTGCAAGATTTTACAAGTGGGATTATTACCCTCTGGTAATTTAACATAGCTATTGAAAATGGCACATTTATAGTGGATTTTCCGATTAAAAATGGTGATTTTCCATTACCAGAGGGTAAGTAGCTCACTATCACGCCGTGCTTGGAACCAACTAGGATCATCATCACATCTTTGCTACGCTTTAGGTTGTCTAATGCATACATCCGTGCAACTAAAAAAGTTCAGTGAATATACAATTGTATAGGTACTGTAGATTAAAAGAACATTTAACTTGAGATTAATTCGCATCATTCAATACATATCCGAATTCGCATCCACAATATTCCCATACCATTTCAAAATGTAGAATACCTATGGATCCAAGTACCTTCTGAGGCAGTAGGGTTTTTATCTTTGGGGTCAACTTCCTCAGCCAGGATTTTGATAAATCCACGACTGATAAAAATAAGCTCCATATTGAAACACGCTTAAACGACTTCTATGGATTTTTGCAGAAATATAAAGTTTGATTAAAGACCAAAAAAATGCCATTAAAAAAAATATATATATATATAATATACTAATATACGATACTATAATCATCATGTTAAATTTACACACCCATCACCCACCATTTCGTTCTTCATCGCAGCTACTTTCTGCCGACGTTTCCCTTGGTGACCTCGACAAAGTGCCCCAAACCTCGGAAAAGCATCTCACAACGACAACGAGATCCTGGGAAAATCATCTGAAATCCATGGCAATTCATAAGAATACTACAGGAGTACTCTCTCTCTCTCTATATATATATATGATGTATGATAATGTATGTATATTATATATGTGTGTTCAATCGAAAATCCTGGGAAAACCACCAAAAATATCCAAAAATATTCTGAACATTACAGGAAAAATATGTTGTAAGAAACAACTTCTTCCCTTAAGAAGATGTGGAGAAAATAGACAAACACATAAGCGGAAAAGTCATCTCTTTCCCTGTCTATGAGGTCCAGCTAGAGGACATTTGGGGATGGACAAGATCCCGAGTCCAACTGGCATGGTGCCTGAGCATCAGAAAAAATATTCAAGAGACTAGTCTGTGAGATCTTCATCTACATAATCTACATCACATAAGCGGCGTTATGCAACTCAGAAAGTTGTTGATAACTTGGGTCATATCAGCGAAACATACCCAGTCCATAATAGTTCATCGGCATGCGTGTCTGGGTCCATACTTGCAGCCCAGAGAAACAATTGTTGGGGCGATGTTTCGTCTGCAAAATTGTTTGCAACACTGTGTCCTACGGTTTCTTCATATACTAAGACCCAACAAAAGGATATAGGACAGTCACTTAACACTGCTTTAGAACAAGACATTTCAAACTGGCTTACTGCTGTTACTCGATTTACCCATACCCCCATCTGAATGGAAACATGGTATATATGGAGCCCCTGGTCCTCCCACCATCATGGATGGAATTCCAAAAACAGTGGCTATAATTAATTTTTCATTCATGATTAATGACATATAATATGTCAATGTGGGTAAAACAATAATAAACCATCCCCGCCCCAAATCACCATAAATAATAGGTGGTACAGTATGTTTGCCATTCCCAGTCATGGGTGGTTTATCATTATTTTACCCACATTATCCCAATTGATACCCTCTGGTAATCTAATATAATAGCTATTGAACATGGCCATAGAAATAGTTGATTTACCTATGAAAAAAAAATAAGATTTTCCAAAGTTATGCTGATGTTTACCACGTTACCAGAGGGTATCCAGTTGGATTTCCAGTTAGATTTCCGCTCATATCCCATAGATGATCTAGGGGTACCATGTGGGGATAACCATCTCACTTCACAACTGACATCCACCAGGCTGCCGTCCCCGTGTAGGGCGCCGTCATGCGCGGCGGCCGCGAACTGTTCTCGAAGCTGCGGGCGGCGGCCCAGGCGCGACGGAAGCAAAAGATCTTCATGCTGACCTGTGAACGCAACGCTGTTGCGGTGGTTTCGTATGGATTATGAGGGATTATGGATATAGTATGGATATAGTATGGATTTATAATGGATTTTTGGGGTATGGGTAAAAGATGTGAGGGATTTGGTATGGATATTCATAGATAGTGGTTGAGTATGGGTCATTTAGTTTATAAATCCGTGTTTATTCGTAAACGTCGTAAACATTGGGATTTGCAGGGATGTATGAGGATATAAAATTGGGAACATGAGGATGTACTGAGAAACTCCAGTCCACTTGCAGTTAGCTAATGGAAATAAGGATTGGACAGGTTTTTTTTTGTTTTCTCTGTTGGGATATCATGGGGCTGGGTAGAATTGCAACTTGGGGTCGCTTACGGCTTCATTGACTTTTTAAGGACATAGACACCCCGTAGTACCGTAGACTGCCATGGTGGATTCACCTGAAGAGGTATTTCGGCATAGTAAATCATCACATTCCGAAAGTGGGAGAAACGGTCCAAATCACGCGTCTTCAAACATCCTTGGGATGACTTAAAAGGAAATCTGAAGAAGAAAGGGTCACATCAATGAAGATATGAGATTCAAGCGCCATAACATATATATATGTATGTATATATCTTATACGTATAACATTATATAACTATATATACGGGAATTTCATTTCTATGGGAATAAATCAAAACCGACAATGTTCGATAAATGTGAGGAGAGAGGATCCATTTATATATTATATATGTATGTACATCCTTTGGCCAGCTATTCCGGGGTTCATGAGGTTATATACTTTTCTGTCTGCTGAAAAGAAACAGCTTTTGACTTACGAATTAAAACTGAATTTCATAGAAGACGTCCAACTATTGATCGTGAAGTGTCTTCCTTTACTATAATAAAAATAGTATGCAGGATTTTGACCCATAGCCATATCAATGAATACATGCACATGGGGGTTTCTCACACCACGAGGGGCCCAAGAATCATGCATGCCATTCGTCATCGGGAAACCCAAGGTTTTCAACGTCCACAGTTTTTCCCATTCAACAGGTAAATCACGCCATGGTAGGAAAGCAGGGGCGAACCAGCATGATTCATCTTGATTTTGGAAATGCCGTATAGTTTGCTGGAGAATCGTCAACCAGCCCACCATAGCCCACCACAAACCCAGCCAGATCTGGCTTTCAAGATTCTGCCATATTCTGCCCAAGACACCTCACCAAACACCCACAGGAAGTAGAAAATCAAGATGTGAAAAAGGCCAATGCCAAGGCTGATTTGGCAGGCCCTGACCCGCGTCACGCCCACATCTGCCAGGGTCAAAGCAAAGATCTCGGCAGGCGGCAACTGAACACCAACAAAAAACGGGACGTTACCCTCTGGTTATGTCAAAATAGCTATTGAAAATGACCCATTTATAGTTGTTTTACCCATTAATAATGGTGATTTTCCAGTTCGCTATGTTAAATTACCAGAGGGTAACTAGTAAAATCCACGGAGTTTATCAACTTTACCAAGGGGCGTATTTTTGCAAGCCTATGTCTGTCCAATACCCATCCGTTGGACGGATGATGATAGTCACAGCATGTCACAGCTATGGTATCCCTGCCGGCTATGCAGCTTGGGGGCGGAGAGTGGCACAACATCCATCGTAAAGTGAATCCAGCATTGGAAGATCACATCCTGATGCCAGCAGGATCTGGAACCCCTCAATAGAAGAAATGATGGAAAGGAACCAGCATTGAATTCAAGTTTATGATCAATTCATTGTCATGTTAAATTTACTGATTAAAAAAACAATCAGCACGATGCATCAGCATTGTAGTTATAATCAATATACAATCAAAAAATAGGCACCTATGGTGAAAACAAGGGAATGACCCGCCATGACGTGCCCAACAAACCCCCCAATGTTTGACCCATATCCCGGTCACTGCGCAAGCTCCCCAGCTGATAGCATCAAAGCGTCCCAGGTTTTCTGACAGCCAGTGAGGCAGACGGACCAGCCTGTTCAAGAAGAAACACATTAAGCATGACACATGCTACAGTATCTACAGATGGCATTCCCTCGGAATCGCACGGACATTTAGTTCTTTGATGGTGAGAGCAACTATGCGTGGGAATATCTTGATGAAGGATTGTTGGACTTGTTGGACATCATACTGCAAAAGGGATGAGATACGGAATGCCATGGAAAAGGCCACAGCCGAGCAGCTGTAGGTGTAGAACTTCCCCTCATCCAACTCCTTCCAAGCATCACTCACCAATAATCTCCTGCCGGGCCACACAAATGGCCTGGTCGTCTATGACATCAGTTCTTGAGGAGTTCAATGACGAATTCGGGGGGCAGCGTTGATCCGTATGTTCCAACGAACCAAAACAAGGCTTAAAAACCAACTATTGGTGATTTGATATCACAACTAATGATATCACTTGTCATTATTTTTCCAATCAAGAAACTGGGAGATTCCAATCCTGGTTCCAAGCAACAACACAGACCCACCGGATCAGCCACCTGTAGGCTTCAAAGGTATCCGGTCGCCACGCATCTTTGCACAGAAGGTAGGCGAAACGAAGGATGTCGCTGCTGACTTGCAGCAGCAGGTAGCACTTGACCAAGGTCCAGAAAAAGAAGGTGATCGTGGGAAAATCAAAGCTGCAGCCTGAGGGCGCGTGTTTTTCTTGACTGCTCTTTGCAAGTGTATCACTGTAAGTTTTCAATGAGGGATACACGTGAATCATATTCTGGGCTAGTGAGTCATGGGCAAGGGAAATGAAATTGAAAAGCAGGTGGAAATTTTGCGCTCTCAGAAGTCTGCAGCCTAAGTCTTGCCCAGCAACAATATCGCCAGCCATGCAAATTCATGCTGATCCCCGAAAACCACTGGATGTAACACCGCAACAACGCCGCCGCAGCGTTGAAAAAGATGAGCAAAGAAGAGGAGAGGATGACATAACAATGCCATAAAGCGAAGGCGCCAGCCGCCCACGAGCGCCCCACGTTGGCCAAACTCAAATGGCCCCAGGTGGGGATCATATATCCAATGCAAAGCCCCAAACGCATCAAACATCCTTGGCGACTTAGGTTGGCCTCATCATCGTCGGTGTCGTCCTCCTAGCCACCAATGAGGCAATAACCAGGCATCCCGAATGGAGACACGGGGGCTTACTGGCAACAAAAAAACTATACCAAGAGCTCCCCAACTTCTGTTTCTGTTTCATTTTTCATCTTCCAACTTAACTTGGGCTGCCAATAGATATCTCTCAATATCCATTTGTTTTTGATGATATATAAATATACTATAACCGAAGGAAGTTTAGAAGCCAAACTTCCGACAACATACACAATGTGGACAGATGAAAAGCAGAGATGGGAAGAGTCAAAGAAGAGAAGAGAAGAGAAGAAGAAAGAATATCAAAAAAAAGAAAGTCTCAGAAGAAAGAAGATCCAGGTGCGCGAAAAGGTAGGAAAGTGGCGAAACACTATGTTTTTCCAATGATTTGTGGCTCCGGAGGGTCGAGAAGTAGGCTCGCTAAAGCGGCGGGTGCGGATACATCTGGCCAGATGACACGTGAAAAATTGCACGCCGTTGTGGCGCGAAGCACATTTCCAAGTCAAAATGTACAAAGCACTTCATGTTCGGACCACGTTTCGAAGTTGAGATGTCGAAAAAGTGCACGCCGCTGTGGTGCGACGCGCATTTCGAAGTCAAAATGTACAAAACACCTCAGCTTCGGAGCACTTCTACAAGTTGCCATGTCGAAAAAGTGCACGCCGTTGTGGCGCGAAGCACATTTCCAAGTCAAAATGTACAAAATACCTCAGCCTCGGAACACTTTTAGAAGTTGCCATGTCAAAAAAGTGCACCCCGTTGTGGCACAAAGCACATTTCGAAGTCAAAAGTGTAAAAACTGCGGGGGACGGAACACTTTTGGACGTTCAGATGTCGTTTCGTGTGGCAGGCACAAGGGATTGTGCACCTTCTCACCCTTGTCAAAAGTGAGCAAAACGCGAAGCTTTTGTAGCATTTCCAAAAGCGATGGCAAGCGCTGAAGAAGATCTGCCAAGATGCATTTTCCGTGGCAGGCGCAGTGCAATAGACATGTTCATCAGAGATGTTAGGAGGTCCGGGCGCTGATTTCCTGAGAGGGGTTGCATTTTGAGGTTTGCTGAGATGATTTTGCGTGACAGGTGCAGCACTTCGTATGACCTGGCATCACTTTTTCGTGGCAGGCGCAATACTTTAGACAGGTGGAGTGGAAAAATCGCAAAACTCATTGGTACGAGGCCGTCAGCTCTGCACTCAACTTTCCATTTTTGAAGGAAGTCTCGCAAAATTGTTTCGTTTTTGATGTTGTCAACTTCGAAAGCTGAGGAAGTCTCGCAGACTTGTTTCGTTTTTGGTGTTGCCAAGTTCAGAAGTTGAGGAAGTCTCGCAGAATTGTTTCGTTTTTGACGTTGTCAAGTTCAAAAATTGAGGCAGAATTGCTTCGTTTTTGATGTTGTCAAGTTCAAAAATTGAGGACGTCTCGCAGAATTGCTGCGTTTTCAAGCTTACAGTTAGACAGACAAACAGACAGACAGACAGACAGGCAGACAAACAGATAGATAGATAGATAGATAGATAGATAGATAGATACGTAGATAGATAGATAGAGATAGATAGATAGATAGATAGATAGATAGATAGATAGATAGATAGATAGATAGATAGATAGATAGTATAGATAGATAGATAGATAGACAATTATAACTACATCTACACTACACTACTGCTACAGCTGCAAATACACATGCGCTACGCTACATTACACTACACTAATCACATCTATTTACACTACACGACGCCAATTACACTAACAACTGCAACAGCAACTACTACCACAACTACAACCAACTACACTACGCTACACTAATTACACTGCAGCACACCACAGCTACAAATACAACTACAACCACGCTAGATTACACAACACTACGCTACTGATTAGATTGCATTACACGACAACTACAACTGCAGCTGCAACTGCAACAACAACTACAACTACCACTACTTTACATTACACTACACTGCACATACTACACTACACATACTACACTACACATACTACACTACACTGCGCTAGGCTAGACTAGACTACACTACACTAATTACACTGCACTACACTACACATACTACACTACACTGCACTAGGCTACACTACACTATACCACACTACACTACGCTACTCTCATTACACCACACCAAGGCTATAACTGCAACGGCGCTTGCAACTAGACTAATTACACTACATTACAACTACAGCTCCACTACACTACACTACATCTACAGCTACAACTGCAACTACAACTGCACTACACCACACTACATCCAGCAGTTGTGGTAAGGCGACCACTACAACCATTGCAACCACTCCAAAAAACACAACTCCAACCACCTGTCGGTCCATCAGTGGATTCGCTCTGCCATCCGTGATTCACAACAACCAACCTCTCCTATAGGTTTGGTTTCCTATGTTTGAAACTTCCGCCACCGCCTTGTGCGGTACTACTGGTATATCACTATCATTATATATATATATATATATATCATATGCACTGCGTGCAACTTCAACCCCTTTGGACCTTTTCCACGCGCCTCATCCAGGGTATCGGGCCCGGAGCCGTTGGTGTGGGTATGGCGCACCTCATCCGCCAGCTCGCGTGTGTGCGCGTGCTCCAAGGCGGCCGTGGACAGGGCGCGCAGCATGGCCGTGTCGTCATGGGCCAATGGGCACCCTGGGATAGGAAAAAACTTGGCCAGTCAGTGAGGGGGGCTCAAGATGTCTTGGTTAATATCAATATCATCAATGTTGTTTTTGCAAATGTTGGATGATTTTGTCTTGGTGTGTAGATGTGATTGAATCACAAGTGATTCATCGCTGCCTGGATCAGTTTCGTTGAGAATGCCTGTAATTTCTGGACCCTTTGGTCATATGATTTCAAAAAAATGGTGGGGAGCTGAGCCACATGTGGCATGGCATCGGGCTGCTTCTGATTCCCATGGTTGAGCCCGTGCTGCCTGAAGGAGCCAAGGTCACAGGGATCCCGCTAAGCCGCTATTGGGTGCTAGATCGCAAACTCCCGACAAAGACTGGCCATGGCAATGGCTGACGATTTTCCAAATTGACCCACAACAACTATATAGATACTTTATAACAGATACATCAAAAACCGAGAAACTAAGACGAAACCCAAACAGAAAAAAGGCCCATGTTGGCTAAAATAGCTCAAAGGCTTGGCCATTGACATCATCTGGGCCTCCAGACTTAAGCTTTTCATGGCCATCACCTTGCTGGCCAGGCCCGGGGTCGTTACCGTATCAACCAGGGCCACACGCACCTGCAACGTTCAACTGCGACTGGGTGGCTTTTGGGGTTGGTCCCAACCCATTGACACATAGATTTATCATCCAGATTCTAGCCAAGTGGGGATCATCATCCTGATTTGAACGGGATAAGACCAATAAGAATATGTCAGAATTGCAGTAGAATGGCGGGTAAGTGATTGAAACCAGCCAGACAAGATCAAAGAAGCACTTACGATTGAATACTACCTGAACACCCTTGTTGCTCGACACATTCATCACAACTTCAAGCGTGCGAGCACGTGAGATCAGGTCTCAAGTCAGGATTGAAGTCTCAAAAAGTCTGATGATGAGGTCACAAAAGCTGAGAACATTGCATGAGTGCAAACGGACCAAGGAAAACCGCGATATTTGAGCAGGGGAAGCCTAATGATGGCCCTACAATTACATATTCTCCTATTCTTGTTCTCCTATTCTTGACGCTCACAAGTGTCCAAAATGAACCTGCATATATACTACAAATCAATGTATAAGAACCATCAATCAATCGAACAACAGAAATAATGCAATAGAATTTTATATATAGTAAATATATGTGTGTTTATATATACCAGTACAGAACAAATTACTGACTGTTCTGTCCACAGGTATATTACAGTACCTCTTTCGCATCTTCCGCCCCTTCAACCCCTTCGTCCCCACACCAGTGATCCCAGTGCTTGTCGTCCCACCAGGCTTGAGCTGCACCTCCAGTGTTGAAAAACATCCAGCTGGATCCAACAGCAACGTCATTAAATCATCTTCAAATCACTGATCTGATGCAGATTATGTTGATGTACTGTAATGTTATGTAATGTTGATATAATTATATATATATATGCTGATGATGTCTGCTCGTGGAATTGAATTAATTTCCAGTGCCATTTGTCCAGTTGGCATGAGAACGTCGTGGTCTGAGTCGAAGAGGGGAATAGGTCAAACAAACTCAAACACATATTATAAGATATTTATAAGATAACTTTATATGCAGTTGATAGTTATTGGGCATTAGACGATTGCAATAAACAAATGTATGTTTACTTAATCTGCAACAATACGAGTGCATGGCATGGGGGACTGGGGAGCCCTACGCTGCGGAAATGATCGAAACGGCACGTTTGTCGCCGTCCAATGCCAAGGGAAGAAATGCCTGCGGAGCAGCTGCTACGGTGAGCCGGTCTTTGGTTCTTGCTAATGTTCACCTTCACAGATCAATGTGGATGAATATTAACATGAAACTTCATAACTAAATTGTTTAGGCTTGTGCATGAGACCTAACTGCAACGTTTAGTGTAACCACAACAAAACACCTTTGGGCTTTTGACCCCAATAGTAAGGTTGCGGACTCCCGTCTCCTCAAAAAACCCACCAACAACGCTCAATTCAATCACTTGGACTGTATAGTTGTATATAGTTGTGGCATTCCGGCTCTACGCCAAATCCTCGATTCAAAGAGGTTGCAAGGGTCTCCCTTCCTCCCACCAAACAAAGGGAACCATACATATTTCATCATATTTCCCTACCCTGCTATTTTGACATTGTGCGCGCTTAAATCCTCTCTTTAGGGACATCTCTAAGCACAAGCAGCTTCAGCTTGCATCTCTTGTTGACACAACCCCCGGGGTCAACGCGTCATCTGCGCACATTGAAAGCGAGTCATCTGCGCACATTGCAAACGAGTCATCCGCGCACAGCGAAACCGCGTCATCCGTTCCGCGCACATTGATGCTGGGATTTCGGGCAAGACTAAACCTCTCTCTTTCATGTTCCTCTCTCTTTCATGTTCCAGGGGGGGGGGTGGGGTGGGGTGGGGTGGGGTGGGATGATAACGTTCATGTTCCTATGCACACACAGGCACAGCAACCTCATCATCTTTCTTCCCGTAGAGCAGAGACAGGCACAGCTCTTTCATGATCAGTTACCGGTGGGGTGGGGTGAGTTAATAAGGTTCATGTTCCTATGCTGCACACGCACAGCAACCTCATCATCTTTCTTGCTGTAGAGCACTTACACGCACTGCTCTTTCATGATCAGTTACCCTTGGGGGGGTGGGTGGGGTGGGGTGGGGTGGGCTGGGATGATAACGTTCATGTGAGATGAGTTGTGTAAGATGAGTTGTGTGACTTGTGAGATGAGAGGAGTTGTGTGAGTTGTAAGATGAGCGGAGTGGTGTGAGATGAGTTCTGTGAGTTGTGAGATGAGTGGAGTTGTGTGAGATGAGTTGTGTGAGTTGTGAGATAAGTTGTGTGAAAGAACTTGGGTGAACTTCAGTGAGAGAACACGAAAGCAGCTCCACCAAATGGCACACGAAAGCAGCTCTTGAGTAAGTTGAGTTGTGTAAGATGAGTTGTGAGAGATGACTTGTGTGAGATGAGTTGTGTGACTTGTGAGATGAGACGAGTTGTGTGAGTTGTGAGATGAGTGGAGTGGTGTGAGACGAGTTCTGTGACTTGTGAGATGAGAGGAGTTGTCTGGGATGAGTTCTGTGAGTTGTGTGAGACAATTTGGGTGAAGTTGAGAGAGAAAGAAGCAACTCAGGAGGAGAAGGAGGAGAAGGCAAGGAATACAAACCTAAAAACAAAAGCCCCACACAGAGATGTGAGGAAAAAAACATAACTTGATGAGTTGTGTGATGATGTTTAAAAAAAAGCTAGAAGAAGAATCATGTTACAGAGATACAATGACAAAAACACACAACAAAAACGTGCACAGACGACCAACCGTCTGACGTGCACAAACGACCCACTTTTGACGTGCACAGACGAACCCCGAACCACCCCCGGTCCTCCAGAGCTTGGGAGGCAGCCATCCCTCCCTGAGATCCAACGGCAGGGCGCAGCCATCCCGACAAAAAGGACCGAACAAGGCCACAAATTATCCTGAAGAAATGTTCGAACTCTTTGCAAAACGCATTCATTTAATTCATTTCAACATAGTTCAGCATATTTCAACATATTATCAACATATTTTAACCATCAAGATCCATCAAGTAGCTCTATTCTTCCACAACAAAGTCTTCTTTGGTGGTCTCTGCCCCTCTGCCCACCTTGGCGACGATTTCCTGCAGTAACTTCACTGCCAGGTCTCGCACACGCGCGTGCCAGTCCTGCCAGGATGGGTGCACCGCATCAGGAACGTGGTAAGCCATGAACATCCATCAACAAACCCCTGTTATTGGATGTTATATATATATATATTAAGAGGGTCAACTTCGGGCTGAATCTCCAGGAAATTGGATACTCTACCTGAAAACTGGGACCACACAAGACCAAGTAGGGATGGACAAATTGAGGATGCGTAAGGGCAGAAAACACATCCAAGTTCTGAGTTTTTTTTTGGTTCAGTCATGTGCAGTCTACGTGGAAACAGTGGGCCAATGTATGGCAGGTTCTGGCACAAAGGACGTAAAGATCGTCCAAAATGATCCTCAGCAATGCCAAGTCCAAACAAACATCATCACATCCTGCTTTCTTGCAAGTCGCCACAGTCCATCCATGTCAAAGGGTGCCCACGGAAATTGGGGGGTCTGCTAACACAGCAAACTGATGCTGATTGTCAAATGTGGCTAGGGACCAAACATAAAGATTTTTCACTTGCCACTAGCTCAGGCTGCTGGGGTGTCAACATTTGTGCGCAAGCCCCCGCACTAGCCAGCAGTATGCATACCATAGGTGGCTTTGCTGTTGTGCTTGAAAGACTGACTTCCACAAATTCAATAGTATATTTCCAGGCAAGTGATAAATTGATTGAATGATCAACAATGAGTGGCCCTTTGGTGCCACATTTTTTTGAACGTCACCAAAGCCATCTCCCAATTTTCCATGACCCAGTCCGAAAGGCAGCAACACATGGCATCCAAAGCGACCCCTGAAGCATCTTCACCAGCTGCGGCCAAGGCCTGATCCGTCAGAATCATAAGCACCCAGTCTGCCATACATATTTCAAAGATTTTCAAAGCACAAGGTGAAAGAAGAACGATTTCAATATGAAGTACCAGTTTCACAAACACTAATAACTATTAGTAATAACTATATAATATCATCGTTTAATTAATTTGTTGCTATCTGCTATCCTTCCTCCTCTTCTTCTGAAACTGCGAGCAGTGTTGGCTTGGACACATTTCTGTGAGCCGCACCTGCAAAGCAAAGACCTTCCCCGCCAGTTCGCCGGGGTCAGAGCCTTAACTGATTCGGTGTCTTCGCCTACTCAGTCTGCCCAAAGGTTACTGACCACACTAAGGGTCAACATCGATAACATCGATCTCTGTGCCTACGCTGCAAGAAACTCCAAACGTCATAAATGTCATGCCTCAGTTTACAAGTTGAAGCGTCTACAAGTTGATTGTCTTATCTTTCCATACCAAAATCATGCAATCACCGCCCTTCGCTGCTTGGGCTGCTGCTGTCGTTGTCGATGGCAATCTTCGCCAACTCCTGGAGGGTCAGCTGCCAAATACAGTAGCTTTTTCTTGCAGCTGGTGGTTTGAATTTGCAGAATTGTACGCAACGATCAATGTCAAATCAGGCGAAATAAAATCAAATGCTTTGGGATTGGACAGATTATATAGGTCAAATTGATTATGACTCTATGACAATATCCATGCCCCCACGACTAATCCACTTCCCAAGATATTTCTTATTGGGTTCAACTTCAAACTGACTTAGATCAGAGACGTGGACTGTGTAGCCTTCTGAGTAGCAACCACTGCAGAACCGTCCTCGGCAGCTGCCAGCCGCACCGCAACGTGCTCATCCTCACATTGTGGCCAGTAAGCTTTTGTCGCCGGGTATCTGTAGCAAAGAGGCTCTGCACCAAAACAAAAACAGCAAAATCCAACAGTCATTGAAGTAAGCGGGTTCATCTTCCAAGGCAAGGGAAGAGAACATATGGTCCAGGAATTGCAGGGCAACCAGCGACTGGGGTAACATCAACAAGTGTCTTGCAGGGCGCATGCCCAGGAAACAAACACACACACAGCAGAATTTGAAATCGAAATGCATACAAGAAGCGCAAATAGATGCAAATAGATGCAAATAGATGCAAATAGATGCTAAGTGGACGAATATATAATGACTAATTAATTCCCTGCTGGAATATCAGTTTGGAGTATATAATTATAATGGTTGTGAGTTGTCACATCCCCCATTGGTGAAACGGTGAAACCCACCTGATCCGCACTGTTCTTCCCATCCTCCCCAGGTCCTTCAAGGCAGCTCGGATGGCGTCCAAGGCTTTCTGCTTGCCACTGCAGGGTGATGGGTGCGGTCCATTGAATCTGATAGACTATGCCATGAATGAATTACTGGAAGTATACTGGAAGTCCCCAACATGACGCCCAAAAAATGAGCAAGCAGAACTCTTAAGATATGCTATAAGACTTAAAATCTACTTCTTGGTTTTGTGTTCCAAGTCGATTAAAAGTATTCAGCCTTGGGGACTGATAGATTTTAAATGCCACTTCTATTTGACTCCAGGCCCAACCTCTTGGCTGGAGAAGCCAGGCTTTGAACCGCCTCCAATCGAGCATAAACCTTGGCGGGATTAGGCACTGATAAAACTCCTGGTTGCTTCTTTAAGCTGGCTGCCAAAAGAGCTTCTTCATGCTTCTTCTATCTTGTGAATTGAAAATGAAACGTCTTCAGAAGCTCCAAGGAGTCTTCACCTTGTCGACTCTAGATTCTAGATTCCAAAATCTGAAGCAGGGCCCCTGCCACGCGCCGGTCTCCCTTCACAGCCACCTGTGTTGAAACAACCAACGTCACTGCAACAATCTTCTGTCAGTGACTCAGATGAAAGGTTTGATGGGCCAACTATATAAGTCACACAATGTCACACAATGATGGATTCTGGCCCCTCTACTTGGGGAAACTCTATGAAACTCAAATTCCAAGAATCTTCAGACAAGTCTTTCACACATCAACATCTTGTCGCTCCCTTTTCAACAGGTTTTTTCTGCAGCGCGTTTCTTCGCAACATCGAGACCGTCCCAAATCAGGCGCCCTTGTGCGAAACTGTATGGGGGAAGACCTCCAGTACTCGCCGGGATGACAGGATCAACAGTTGCTGCCGTTGGAGCAAACCCATGAATCAAACATCAGGTAATATGTAATGGTGAAGTTCGACACCCGAACTGCCGCACCAACGAAAAGGTAAAGTGTAAGCCATGGCATTATAGCATTCGTTTAATTAAACGCCTTCACCAACCATTCCCCGAAGTCTACGGAGAAAAGGGTGCGCTGAGATCCCTTCCAAATCTTCCAAGATTGCAGCCGCAGGAGGGCTGCAAGCTCATCTGGCTGTGGAACCTGCGGAGCTTGGAGTGGAGCTCAAAAGGATGCAGCGAAACCCATTGCTACTCCTTCATCCGTGGATTTGGTATGGTTTGGCATATTTACTTAGACTTCCATCTACCCAAGAAGAATCACCCAACCCAACTCTTGTCTTTTTCGACATCCTTAATCTTTCTGAGCCGCCTGATTCACCGAAAAAGAATAAGAAAGAAACAAACTACTCAACATCATCCTCACGGGGAGAGAAACCAAAGGAGTTCACAAATGCTCAAATCATCTGACAGCATCCAAAAAAAACAACATTCTTCAGTAATGCTGCACAACTCAACAGATCCAAGAAATGTGATCTTGACGCTGTAGCATGGACACAACATATTTCTTCAGGCAGGGCCTAAGCACAGCGTGCATCCGAGCACGCCAAGGATTGCCTAAAATTTTCAGGCGCCCAGCCACCACGAAGACATGTGCACAGCGCGGCCCGCAGCCGAGGCACAACCAGCAGTGGCGTGCGCTGAAAGCGGGTCGTTCTGTTTGGTTGCGCAGAAACCGTGCGGTGACTGATTCGGCTGCATTTCTCAGGCTGCCGATGCAAGCGCAAGTTTCGCTGGAAGAGACAAAAATATTAGATATTAGATCTGGTCAACAGGCATTCAACTCCGTAATGGCCACCATGATGTAAAATTAATTCAAATTAAATGAAATTGCGGCAAATGGATGGCAATGAAGCATAATGAAGCCGCATATCCTTTCAAGGAGACATCAGGTGCTCTCCATTTTGACCAAATCTTTTGATCACCGCAACCTATTCGAATTAGTCCGTCAGGGACCCTTCGGTATCTGGGATGGTCACTACATCACCTCCATCTCCTCGCCTCTTGCCGCGGCGGAGCGGCGTCTTGCGAGAGCCTTTGCTCAAAATGGAGGGTGGCCTCATGAAGGCTGCGACGGGAAGGTCTGGTCGAAAGGAAATCTTCAGCACCATAGTTGGTTCGTGCTTCCATTCCTCGGCTTGCTCTGAAGGTCATTGCTGGGAAGGCTGTGGTTATTTCATGCAAAAACATGTAAAATCTGCATCAGGGTTGTGAATTGCTCCAGCAGCAGCACTTATTATCAAGAAAACTTGGCCTGCTCAACACCAACTCAAACCAACACGTGGGATGAATAATCAAAACAAACATAGGTGCGCGGTGGCTCTGAACCAAAGACAGGAATCCATGGAGGTCAGCTTTGCCTGCGTTCCATCCAAGATCACCTCGCTGTCAACTTCAAGCTCCATTGCTTGGACCTGAGCAAGTGAAGGACGGAAAGACACAGCGTTGGAGTCTGAACGCATCAACGCATCTCACAAAGAAACATGTAATTCTGAAAGTAATTCACATGATTTGCGTGGGGATGGCAGGGGAAAACACTTGAACAATCTATACCAAACAAACCTGAGCATGCAAACATGCGCTTCACACCCTTTATCCACACAAAACGAAGCTGGAAGCAAAATGATCAACCAACTTTGCCCAAGCACCGTCTTGTTCCCAGGAACGAGAATGCGATGGTCAAGACTCATAGAGACGAGTGCTCCGCCTGCAGCTCAATCACAGCATCCACCCGATGTTGCTCCGGTGGCTGGACGACTTCCACCGGTGTGCCATTCGCTGCAACCACTTGGGCGCCCTTGAAGAGCATCTTGGCTGGGGCAAGGATTTCACCACCAGCTGTCACAACCTTGAAGTAGGTATCGGGAAGATAGCAGCATGGATTTCCAGTAACGTGAAGATGCGTCGCTTGGCCCACTCCTGGTCTCCTGGTCCCTGGCTGCGATGACTGCCTTCAAACTATCCAAGTGGCTAACTTGGCTTTGGAGAGCTGCCACCTGGTCAACAAGCCCTTGGTCAAGCTTACTGAGCCCTGTCAGCATCTCCTCCAGCTTGTGGTAGATGGGTGAGATGACAAGCTTCAAGTTGTCCAACTCATCTACTGGCCCTTCTGACAGCTTTGTAGATTTTTTGAGCCTGTGTGGACGAAAGCAGCAAAGCCATTGCGAAGACTGCAGGAATCAGGCTGAGGAAGACTGTGAAGACTGCAAGAATCAGAAGCAGCGAATCTCGGGTCCTTGCTCCGTCAGGTTCAGCTTGGGTCGTGTGGCTCCCCGAACTCTCATGGTCTTTACCTATTTCACCTGCTGCCTCTGAAAACGTAGTCTGAGTGTGGTTTGTTAAATCACATGTGCCTGAAATGCTTGCAGCCTTCCCCTCAGCATTGGCCACAGCTTCTGAATGGTCAAAGTTTTTCTGATCAAACATCTCTGGCAAGCACATCCAAAAGTCCCACGTCTGACGTCCAGTTGGCAAACCACCTGCTTCGTTCTGACATTTCACGTCGGTCTTCGCCTTGTATGAAGCATCAAGGAACATCTGAGCATATTCAGAAGGCGTGCAATCTGCGATGTGCCCTTTCATCTCAGTCCGGATTAGCCGCGGTTTCTGCGCCAAAAGTTTGTTGGCACCTCTAAAAACGTGGCATTCATAGCCTTCCACATCAATCTTAACGAACTCAACCTTGTGCTGGGCAAACTTGTCGTTCTTTATCTCATCAAATATGTTCACATCAAATTCCCCGCGGGACTGGAAAGCACCTTCAGGTGGAATGCCAGGATTCGTGTCATTCCCACACGAGACATAACCATCGCCAATGTTGTTGTTGGGCGATACCAAGTAGCAATGCTGATTGGCATCACCCAAACCATTTTCGTGAAGATCAATTCGCTCCACGACATCCGGGTTGGCACAGAGGCTCGCTTTGAAGAGAGCCCGGTTCGCTGGCATCGGCTCAAAAGAGGTGACGTTCCAACCACTCTTGGCCAGTGCGAAACTGTAAAATCCCAGATTTGCACCAATGTCAACTGCGCGACCCGGAGGGCCATAGTTTCCTGCATTGAAGCCTTCCCAGTTGTGCCAACGCGTCAATCCCCGACTCACAGCGTCATGCGTGGCGTACACCGCCAGCCAAAAGGGTTTTACCCCTGGGATCTGAACCATTGCCCATGTCAGCCGCTGCTGGGAGGACCTGGGGCCATCACAATCTCTATTCACGGCGACCTCCGTGGAGGAAGGTGCATCTAGGCACTTCCCCTTTTTATCTGGATGATACTTCCAGGTCAGCTTCCAGGCACATGTTGGGTTATCCCCTCCCAGTGTCTCAAGAACATGAAGAAGTGAGGTGAAAGCCATCAACCTCAACGTCATGGGCAACAGAAAAGGGAAAGCAACAGCGGTTGCTTGCGGGTACTGGCAGTGCTGGCTGGCTTGATCGCTGATGGCTCCCAAACATGACTCAACATTGGCAGCACCAGCGCTATGATTAAGCAGGCACCAGGAGCCCCAGGTCGTGTCAACTTGTAAGCTGGGCATCCGCTGCGGGCCACTAAGTATTTCTTTCATGAAAATGGAGGAAACACCTGGCAGCTGTCCCAGCCTCCGTGTTTTTGTATGGTGAAGCCACTGCACCAACCAGGTCCTGCAACAACTGTGCCATGGTGTTCTCCAGACCAGCAATTTTTGAAATGCTGAGTTTTCAAGCTGCCTTGAGTTTGCCTGCCACACGTCCTTCCAAACATGTTGCAGCAACATGAAGCAATGCAAGATTCTTGAACTGAACCTCAATAATCACATGAATAATGACAGCACAAATCTAGGACTGTCAGCATTCAAGGAACCTATCTCGCAGGTTCATCTCCATGTTTTAAACTTTTCCAAACCATGTCGAACCACAATCAGGACTTCCCCTCAGAAAATTAATGAACAGCAAAACGGCTTGTCGGAGTTGGTTTCAGGTGGGAAATCTCCAAATAAGTGCTTTAACTGGGCATCTCCAAACATTCAAGTATATATATAAGTAAATTCACGACCGCTGGCAGATGCTGTCCTTCCGATCTCTTTGCCCGTGGCGAGCCAGGCCTCAGCACAGCTTTCTAGTGTCCCTGCATCGAGACGCCCAGAATGTTTCTATGCGAACATGTGACATGGGTCATTTGAGTAACCTGTGCTTACAAAGTGCTATGTGCAGTTTCTTCTTGTTAACATGGTGGTTGTCTTTGTTACAAGGTGCAGCACTTGCTACCCATCCATTGCGTTTGGTGTGGCATAGGCAGGATTGTGCATCAACACGCCTTAGCTGATATCCATCGACAGCAAATCTATGCATCCACACCAATGTCTGCTATCCTACTCGTCTCTATCTGTTGTGCCTGAACTGTTCGCAGCTGATCTCTGTCAATTTATCCCTTTGGCAATCTGTTTCAACATAACCAACCCTACCCACTCTTGCACATATGATTGCTTCCTCTACATAAACCTTGGTCAAAATGTCGTTGCAGGCTATATCAAATCTCAGGCCAACTTGCTGCAAGTTTACTTCATTCTATGCCAGCTTCATGTCTAAGAAACAACTGGAATGAGGTTTCAAGTTATACTGTAATTATCTCATACAGTATGACTCATATCCTTTATGGGGCATCATGAATGCCTCTACCTGTGCAAGCCATCTAACTACTGGCTGTCTCTCATCTTCTCTCCGTCTGAATCTACTTCAATATACCATTGAATCATCTCAGCAAATCTGTCTGAAATTAATTCCTCTTATCTCTTCTCAGTTGATCTCTTTCTTCTCCTTTTCTTCGTATCTGTCTATCTTTCCGGCGTAGCTGTCCAGTCCGGCTGTCCCACAGGGACCCCCTCCACGACTGCAGCCGCTGTAGGGCAGCTTTCAGCTCCTCCGGCAGTGGAACCTGCGGTTCCATGGCGTGGAGCTCAAAGGCTGCATTGAAAACTCAGGGAGACCCAAGTCATCCATGGGACTGGCATAGTTCGGCGTATGTATATAGTAATTCAAAAATGACCCCCCGAAAAAATAACGTCCAGTCATATATGAAAGGTTTACAAAACTACCCAAGTTTCAAGAAGATTCAAGAAGCTGTATGACACCGAAGACAACAATGATCCTGCGCACCTACTTCAATCTATCACCGGCCGTTTCAGGAACCAAAATTGGAGGCACCTAGTATGATGTAAGGCCTACGTAAGGGAATATCCCCATAAAATATGGCCTTATATAGTACAGTACCTCCATTTTAGGATCCTGGAATTCCATGGAATTCCCATTGAATCTATAAATGATCCCACAAAGCCATGGAAAGCACTCCGAAACAGAACCGAAACGAAGCTATCACAGGTGGCTTAACGAATGGCCTGGATGTCGTAGCGCCGGTCTGCCGCGAAACCGAGGCGGTGGCGATGCCTTGGTTTAAAACTGCCAGTTGAGGCCCAAGCATCGAATGCCTGAAAATCAGAATCATCCCCTAGGTACAGCAGGGTCAGTACAATTAGAACCTTGACATACCTCAACCTAACTTAATATCTCAATTGATTCTAACATATTCTTACATATTCTTACCCACTTCACTTCCCCACCATCATTTGCGAGCGGTAGCCCGGTCCAACTTGCAGCCTGCAATCAAGTCGCAAGAAGCTTCCTGGCCAAAGGAAGGACAGCAGCAGTGTTGATTATGGAGAGACTTGGCAAGTGAGCTCATATCTCTGGCCCACAATTGTTTCAAGATTTTTTCAAAAAGAAATCAGGGGAACATTGACCACGGCTGTCTGCAAGAGAAGTCCTTTCAACCATTCCATGTGCTCTCCATGGGAGAAAAAAAAGGAACTCATCCGAATTCCCCATCGCCCAGCCTCCACAAAGCCCACTGTCTCGGTGGAAGGTGGCTGCACCTGGGTGCTGTGGCAAGCAGTGACGTTTTTGAGCTTTGATTTTTGGAGGCACCTATGATTCAAAGAAATTAGCATTTTACATGATCTTATGTTTCCTGCAAATTCCTTCTTCAGCCCATTGTGGGATAGAAGACAAATACGATTTAATGAACGATCAAGATTCCACAGGATACGTCATTCAGCAGCATATGGGTAGAGCTAAGCCACTGGAATATCTTCCGTCACGGACCACAGCATGGCCAATATGTGCCATATGACTCCTGGCGCACCAATACAGCCTTCAACATGCCCAGCAGAATGTCAAGAGGTGGGTGTGTCAAGCATGGGGGAGTGGATTTCACGGATTCTGATGGACTATGACTATGCCCATGCCCCTGCTGCATTGAAGATGGAGCAGATAATGAAAGCAATGCGTGGTGATAGATGCTTTACACATGAATCAAAATTGTGCTGATTACTTCTGACAGTCTCTCCGTTGGGTGTTGATCTGAATCTTCTGACTTGTTCGGGGCTGCAGCCTTTAAAAAAACAGTTCTGTCCTGATTTGGTGCTTGCGACCTGTGTCAATCTGAATTGTCACCACCTTAGCGAAACGAAAGCAGTGTGTCGATTGAGATGCTATGTCTTCCTGTGATTTCCTGTGAGTGCGGGTTTGAAAATGGCGTATAGCCACCGTATAGCCTGATTGTTTCCCAGCTACTGCCCAATTCTTCTTTGGTTCCAACTGTGTGTAAACAATGTTTCGACATCAAATCCCACCCAAGAAGTTGAAACGCACATGGACAGGCTCGCAGTGTCACCCGGCAAGTCCCCCAGACAGTGTGTAGCAGCCGAGGCTCAGTAAAGGTCATGGCCAGAACTGGGAAGTAGCCGTAGGAGCCCACCTCAGTCAGGACATTGTGAGATCTGGGCATCCTATGTGACCAAATGTGGTCAAGCCAACCAGTTCTCACCGTATCTAAAACATGATATGATTTGGGAGACCGTACTGTATGTACATGTAGAATTGATTCTGACATTGACCTAGTCAAAATCCAACATGAGGACGAAACATGCAACCCAACTTCCAACTCCTAGATAGAAACTCAAGATAGTTATCCTGTGTGTGCCAGACACTCCATCCAAGTATTCCTATCAAATCCTTAAACAAGCCTTAAACTCTGAAATCAGCCACAGCACCTTGATCCGCGTCGATGCCGCTTTGCCCAGGCCCACCTCCGTCACTGGAGATATATCCCACAGCCGCGCAGTGATGCCTCGGTGTAGAGCCAGTTAGATGGCATGCTTTTTGAGGAACCTTTCAGTCAAGAGAAATGCCAGAATTTTAATGGGCTAACATCATCTTCAAAAAAGCATGAACAAACTCTTGGGGGTTCCGGTTGATGTTCATTACCGGTGATGGAATGAAATTGGATTTCAGTTGGCGCACCTCAACCTTGAGCACCTCCAAAACCCAGGAGTATCCGACTATAACATAGATTTGATCTGGTGGAAATTCACATCGTCCCAGTAAATTAAAGGACCCATCTTGAAGTGGCAGCATCACCAGGCAAATCCCCAGCAAAGGCACTTCTAGAATGCTGCACGAAGCCATGGCAAAGCACGACATATTCTCGCAAAATCTGGCCTGGCATGTCTGCCCCTTGGAACTACAGTGAAACAGGCACATGATCACCATAGGCTTTAGCAACAAGACAATGAGTTACACAGCAATGCAGGCTATGAAAACTGAAACTGAAAGGGCAGTTAGATGCAATTAGGCTAAAAGCAACATCTCACACCATCTCCACATGTGCCCCAAGAGTTGTGGATGCACCCACACGCACTGTGGGATTTCTCAATTAGGTCATGGCCAACCACGTCATCTCCCAGTGCATCCCTAGTACCGCGCCTGTGTGGAGCTGCAGTTGGAGGTCAGCATAAGCTTCGTAACTCTTTGCCTCACACAGGGAGTTGCTGAGGGTCTGTGTCCTGCTGTGTGACCTGCACAAGTTCGACCTTGGGTGATGTGTCTAGAAACAAGTGCATGCTTGTAGATTTACATGGCTATTTACGTGGTTTCATGATGTTTTGATGGGGGTTCCTTCTTATAGTAAATAGAATCTTATGGATGCTCAAGCTTCGGCTTGACTCGGAGTGATGTCACTGCGAGACTTCCCAAGGCATCTGATCCGCTGCCAAGCTTCCACCAACAGCAGCCCGGAGCTGGGCACATCCAAGCGATGTAGGAAGCCTCGGTGCCACGGATGGCTGCGGATGGGTGGCTGTGCCATCTACGGGCCACTGCAGCGTGAGGGGCCCAGATCTACGTTGAGGTCCTGGAAAATGGGCAAAGGTCCCACCTTGCAAGGGGGCAAGTTGGTCAGGAGAGATTCTGATGGGGGGAGTGTCTCTGTTCATTCAACATGTCTATTACTACATGTTTTCTCTCTTCCCATCTCTTCCCTGTTTTGCGATTTATCTGCAATATCTATCGCCCTGTGCCGTCTGTGAACCCAAGTGTTTTCCCCAAATGTGATGTTACTTTACAGGACTTCGTTTGATGTCAGTCAAGGCAGTCAAGATTTCCTGTCGGGGATTGACAATTTATTGATGTGCCAACATTGACATGCCCCACTGATCACATTTACAGGTGAGCCACATGCCCTCGCACGAAATCAATCAATTGCTGGGGCGAGTGGTTGTCGTAGACTTCCCATCCCACGGGTTTGTACACCACAAGCCGATCACTCCTTGGGCTGGGTTGGATTGCAAACTGGTTTGAAGAGGGTGGGCACAAACTTATACCCCCGATTGCAACAATACCCAACAACATCAAACAACGCAGGGCTACCAGTAACATAGAGTATCATCATATTATCATATTAATATCGTATCATATCAGATCGTCCTGCACACAAGGTGATCGCTCAGGCATTGCTGATAATTTTCCCAATTGTCTTCTCATGTCTTCTCCCTGTTCGGACCATAGCAGGGATGCTGCGAGGCTTCACTGCCCAAATCTGCCATCAGCCACGAGACAAATCCAGGGCCACCACTGGGTCTGCGTCCGGCTGGAAGATCTGAGAGGCAACTCGTCCAGCCTGTCCAGTTAACGACATGGGGCAAACTCCTAATTTTCATCACACCATGCATCATGAAGCCACAAACATGAAAGCTAGAAGCTGATACCAAAGAATTCACAAGAAACAAAAGGCTGGGCTAAACACTTCCCAGTTTCAAAACACCATGTCTTGAAAAAATGCGCCCCGAATGTTCGCATCATTTTTCAGGCAAGGCCTAAGCGGTGTGTGCATCCAAACAAGCCAAAAATTGCCCATCAACCAGCATGAAGACGTGTGCACAGCAAAGCATGCAAAGCACAACCCGCAATCGATGCACAACCAGTGGCGTGCACTGAACGCGGATCGTTCTGTTTTGGTTGCGCGGAAACCGTGCGGTGACTGATTCGGTGGCTTGTGTCAGGCTGCCGAGGCACGCACAAGTTGCGGTGGAAGAGACAAAATTCGGATCTGGTCAACAGGCATTCAAGCCCATAGTGGGCTGCCAACACCATGAGGTCGAATCATGTCAGGGCAAACGGGGGTTGCAATTTTTGAGGAAACATCAGGTGCTCTCCATTTCGACCAAATCTGTTGATCACCGCAACCTGTTCGAATTAGTCCGTCAGGTACCCTTCGGTATCTGGGATGGTCACTGCATCACCTCCATCTCGCTTCTTGCCACGGCGGAACTGCCTCTTGTGAGAGCCCTTGCTCAAGATGGAGGGTGGCCTCATGAAGGCTGCAACGGGAAGGTCTGGTCGAAAGGAAATCTTCAACACCATAGTTGGTTCGAGCTTCCATTCCTCGGCTTGCTCTGAAGGTCATCGCTGGGAACAGGGTTGTATTGCATGTTAAAACTAAAACATGCAAGAACATGTAAGAACAGAATAAACAAATCCGAAAAAAATGAAACTGGGAGGCAAGAACATAGAAAAGAATGAAAAAAACGCGAAAAAAAGGGATGCAGAAGGGAGTGTCCCTCTGAAACAAAACTAGGAATCCATGGAGGTCAGCTTCGCCTGCGTTCCATCCAAAATCACTTCGCTGCCGACCTCGTGCTCCTTTGCTTGGACCTGAGCAAGTGTAGGACGGAAAGACACAGCGTTGGAGTCTGAACGCATCTCACAAAGAAACAAAGGGGGTTCTCTGAGGCGAATGACGGCCGGTGATTCACTTGATTTGTCTGGGTAACAGCATGGGAAATTTGAACAATATAGAGCAAACAAACCTCTTAACATGCAAACGTGCGTTTCACCCCCTTCACACCCTTTGCAACTTTGCCCAAGCACTGTCTTGTTCCCAGGGATGAGAATGCGATGATCAGGGCTCACCACCAGAAACGACTGATCCGCCTTTAGCTCGATAACAGCATCCACCCGATGTTGCTCAGGTGGCTGGACGACTTCCACTGGTGTGCCATTCGCTGCAACCACTTGGGCGCCCTTGAAGAGCATCTTGGCTGGGGACAGGATTTCACCACCAGCTTTCACAACATCGAAAAGGGTATATCGGGAAGATAGCAGCATGGCTTTCCAGTGACGTGAATCCACGAACCAGCTCCTCCGGATAATATATATATATATATGGATGATGTGTCACTGGCTCCGCCGCAGCTGTCCACACGGGACATGCCTTTGATCTTGTTTCCCATGGATAACACGAGCTGCTCGAACTGGTCCACTTGGCTTTTCAAAACTGCCATCTGCTCCGCAAGACCCAGGTCAACTTTGGTTTTGAGCTTAGATTGGTCCAGTCGACTGCCCCTCATTTCTTTAGGAAGTTCTGTCAGCTCTGTCGCCATAGTCTCGCCACCAACGCTGGAGGCAGAAAATGGATCGCCAACTCTGTTGCTCCTAGTCTCCTTTTCCATGGCTGAGATGACTGCAGTCAAACTGTCCAAGTATGTCCAAGTAATCCAAGTAGCTAGCTTGGCTTTGGAGAGCTGCCGCCTGGTCAACAAGCCCTTGCTCAAGCTTACTCTCTAGCTCTAATTGGGTTGCTCAGCATTCCTCCATTTCTTGGATGAGCCCTGTCAGCAACTCTTCAAGCCTTTGAGTCGAATCTGTGATCTTCGTCTGCATCCAATCGATTTCTTTGAGTCCGAAGACCTGACGAAATTGCTCCCATGTCATGATAGCCACCAATCTGCCTGCCAAGACTTGACAGCAATGACATCCGCGCGTGATTCAAGAAAAGCTTGCTCGGCTTGATCGCTGATGGCTGAATGCTAAGAGGATCCAGATTTGCATTCCTGGTTTTGGCATTACTATCATCAGCACATATCAGCACTGCTACTAGTTAGCAAAAGGGGGAAAATCCCGAGATCATCAAACATCCATGATCATGGTTAGGTGACCACACAATTCACAAGCAAAGCATGGCTACCCTTCTCAGTTCGAAACACCAAGCCCTCTAAAAATGCATTGCAGCATTATTTTGCTGCCTGGGCCTAAGCACAGCGTGCATCAAAACGCGCCTAAAATTGCCTTACTTAAAATTTTCAGGCGCCCAGCCAGCACGAAGACACGTGCACAGCACAACCCCCAATCGAGGCACAACCAGCAGTGGATCAGTGGCGTGCGCTGAAAGCGGGTCGTTCTGCTTTCGGTTGCGCGGAAACCGTGCGGTGACTGATTCGGCGGCTTTTTTCAGGCTGCCGGTGCACGCACAAGTTTCACTGGAAGAGACAAAAATCGGATCTGGTCAACAGGCATTCGGCTCGGCTGCCAACACCATGGGACCATGATGTCACATCAAATAAAGTCATGGCTATAATGGATGACCCTTGGGGCCGCATTTCCTTTGAAGGAAATATCAACCATTGTCAAATGCCTTTCATCTTGACCAGATCTTGGTATCACCGCAACCTGTTCGAATTAGTCCGTCAGGTACCCTTCGGTATCTGGGATGGTCACTACATCACCTCCATCTCCTCGCTTCTTGCCACGGCGGAACTGCCTCTTGCGAGAGCCTTTGCTCAAAATGGAAGGTGGCCTCATGAAGGCTGCCACAGGAAGATCTGGTCGAAAGGAAATCTTCAGCACCATAGTTGGTTCGAGCTTCCAATCCTCGGCTTGCTCTTAAGGTCATTGCGAGAAAAATGGTGGTGTTTCGTGTAAAAACTCCAGCATGGAAGAACATGTAAAAACAGAATGAACGAATCTAAAAAACATTAAAATGGGAGGAAATAACATATTATAGTTAGAAAAGAATGAAAAAGGGAGTGGCATTCGAAGCGAAAGACAGGAATCCATGGAGGTCAGCTTGGCCTGCGTTCCATCCAAGATCACCTCGCTACCAACTTCAAGCTCCATTGCTTGGACCTGGATAAGTCAAGCGATCCCAGCGAAGCATGTGGCACTTGAGTCTGAACGCATGCGACAAAGTTAGGCAGTTCTGGGGCCAACGGCCGTTGATTCAGTTGATTTGAGTGAGAAAGGCAGGAGAAAAACATTGGAACCGGATGAACAAACCTAATACTACAGCAATGTAAATAAGCATGCAAACAGACTGAAATGTTGGAAGCAAAACGGACCAACTTTGCCCAAGCACCGTCTTGTTCCCAGGGATGAGAATGCGATGATCAGGGCTCACCACCAGAGAGGAATGGTCCGCCTGCAGCTCAATGACGGCATCCACCCGATGTTGCTCCGGTGGCTGGACGACTTCCACCGGTGTGCCATTCGCTGCAACCACTTGGGCGCCCTTGAAGAGCATCTTGGCTGGGGACAGGATTTCACCATCAGCTGTCACAACCTTGAAGTAGGTATCTGCAAGATAGCAGCATGGCTTTCCAGTAACGTGAGTCCACGAGCCAATGGAAGCAGCACTGGATATGGAAGATGCCTCGCTGACTGCGTGTGGGTCCAAGTGGGGCACGTTCTGGATCTTTTCGCCCATGGATGACATCAACTGCTTCAACTGGTCCACTTGACTTTGGAAACCTGCCATCTGCTGGGCAAGGCACAGGTCAAGCTTGGTTTCAATCTTAGATTGGTCCGGTCCACTGCCCTTCATTTCTTGACGAAGCTCGGTCAGCAGTGTGACCAGAGTCGAGTAACCACCACTGGAGGCAGAAAATGGGTCGCCAACTCTGTCGCCCCTTGTCTCCTTTTCCAGGACCTCCAGGACTGTGATGACTTTAGTCTCGAAGTTGGATTGGTTTGCTCGGATTTCTTGGGTGAGCCCTGTCAGAAGCTGCTCCAGCCTTTGAGTCGCGCACCAGAAACTGGACGTGAAACCTGAGATGCAGTCCATCTGACAGGAAATGCTGCTGATCTTCGCCTGCATGGTTGTACACATCTCGTCCACTGTATTGCTTAAAGCTGAAACCTCCTTCGTTGTGGAAGCTGAGACCATGTCAGTCAACCTTTGCATTCCTGAGGGAATTTTGCTGATCTTTGTGCCCATTTCATCCACTTTGCTTGTCAAAGCTGGAAGAGAGTTGTCCACCTTCCCCTTCAGCACCTTCCCCTTCAGCCCTGATAGCGTCTGTTGGTGTGCGTGGGTTTCATCTGTAAGGAATCCAAGGATTCCTAGCACTCCAATTTGCAAAAAAGTTAATACACCGGCCAGGAGCCAAAGCGGTGCAACATTGCACATATAGCACACTAGCACAAATAAAGCAAATAAAGCAAGGCGACCTGTGCAGTCCATTGGGTCCAATGTTGCCACGACTTGACACCAATGGCAGCCTCCCTTGATTCAAGAAAAACTTGCCTGGCTTGATCGCTGATGGCTGAAGGTTGTAAACGGATCCATATAAAAGGATCCCAAAAGAGCCTTGCATTCCTGGTCTTGGCACTACTATCATCAGCACTGCTATTAGGAAGCAAAAGTTGGGGGAATGCCAAGTTCATAAAACATTCTTGATCATGGTTAGGTGAAGGTGGCCACAGCTGAAAAAAGCTTTCAGAATGCAACCAACAGTCGCCGTCTCCGCATCAGAATCTTTCCAACTCAAGCGCGACCAGGCAAAAACACCAAAGGATAGAAGTTCGTCAGCAGACCGACCTACGGTAGGTGTCCATTTAGTTGCTGGTCATTAGACATCAAAGCAAATATGGTGCCTCGAATGCTGGGTATGGTGAGGCCACAACGCCCAGCAAGTCCTGCTGTAGGAACGCTGCCATGGGAATGGCTGGGGTGTCTGTGATCAACTGGTTGGGAAATGTTGGGAACATGATCAAAGTGATGGGGACGGCACGAGTTGACACATGAAACCACCACCCACCTCTTATCATCAGCCGAAAACTAGTGCTTGGAAGATGTGTCCTTCCAATCGTCGCCTGTAGTGAGCCAAGCACCGCTCCTAGCTCCCAGCTGCTGCCCCAACAATTGTGCAGTATGGAACCCACACCGGATCTTGTCCAACAAATTGTGCACTCCGTTTGTTGACTTTCCTGTTGAATTTCGCACTGTAGCTATTTCCACACCTTTACTGCCCACCAGATGCTCACTAGCAAATACATCAAAAAGCGCATTAATTAGCCTACGCCATAGAATCGCACTTCAGGGAACAGTTTGCCACAATAATAGTTATTGGGAATGCAAGCACACATTCCTACCTTGTCAGCCGCCACGTGCAGGTTGCCAGCCCTGGTGATAACATCAACCCCTAACAGCCTCAACCGTCTCCGAAGTTCGCCCCAAATCTCCCGCAGCAGCCGAAGAAGCGCCGGCGGCCAGTGGCGCACAGCAGCTGTCAAAATGCGCAGCTCCTGGAAATGAAGGGGCTACAGACTTTGGCCAACTTTAGCCCACGTTTTTTGAATTTTAGGATGGATCCTTACCGAGATGAACCATGATGAATTTGGGGGCACCTGGGGGGGGGCGAATTATGGAATCAAAAAGAATAATTGGGTGCACATCGGCGGTCAAGTTTTCTTTTGACCGAGCCCACAGCGCCTACCAACACCAAAGAGGTACTGTGTGGGTGACATGACCTGCCCACTGCCACCCCAACGTGCTGCAGCTCACCGCAGGACCGCTTTTTCCACGGGCTTCTGAAAGGCGCCCATCTCAGCGCAGAGGGCGTCCCAGTCTTCGGTCCAAAGGCCCTGATGATCGCGCACCACACTGAGCGGCGAAGTCTAAGGATGGGGATGGGGATAGGGTGGCTCATCTTCGCTACCAAATGATTGGTAAATTTATGATTAAATTCCTGGATGAACGTTGGCACTGTGGCACTGTTAAGTTAACATACGTCGATAGTATAATTAATGAAGAATAGTAGGGGCACAACCAGCACCAATAAAGGCTGTTATATATCAAAGAAGATCAAAGGCCAATGGCCCAATCTCCTCAAGAAAGACACAGGGTGTTGGCCATTCTTGATCTTTCTTGGGCCCTTTGGATTCCCTAAATCCACTGGTATTCCACTGGTCAACTTGCAATGAATCGATTGGGGAATGATGATTGAATAGAATCAACAATAAAAACATGGTGGAAAGTAATTAGAAAGTTGCGAACATCAACGCATATCAACGCCCAGAGGCAGTTCCTCCTCCTGAAGTTTCACGTCTCTGCCAGTGGCTGTTCCTGGCGGTGCTTCGAGGATGTTAGCACACATGCAAATGGAATCTAAAATGCCAAAACTATCCAAAAAAAATGCAACCAAACTTGGATCCATCTGTCTCCCAGGCTGTTTCTACAGTACCCTGCAGCCATGCGGCTGCCGCAAACCAGCACTTGCCACTTGGGTTCTCCCCGCGACAGCGCCGTCAAGCGCCGCTCCGGGACCAGCTTTGCCGCTTGGACGGCGTCCAAGACATCGTTGGCACGGCGATGGACGTGAACAATGCCTCAGGTCGCAAACTTCTCCAGTCATTTGTGAGGTGGGCGGTTGTAGTCCTGGAGTAGATCATATTTGCAAAAAAAAAGCTGTTGATGAATTCGGTTCATAGGTTGTATAAGGGCTGCTGGGGATCATAGGGTGCAGGAACCAATGGTGAATGGTTGATACTGCACGCGGTTGATTCATGATGTTAAGTGGGGCAGCAAACTCTCAGATTTGCCATAATGAATGGTCTTACTGCTGTTCAGCCACCATAGGTATTAGCTCACATCACGAGCAGATTGTTGCGCTCAAGCTGATGCACTTCAATTAGGCTTGCTGAAAGCTGTCTCACCATATACTCCCTGGCAAAGCGATAAATGGCCAACTCCAAACCCATATGGTGAGAACCAAAGGATGCAAGCCCATTAGCCACCGAATGCAGCAGAGTGGCAGAATTTGCCATCTCTTTTGAGCATCTTCGAGGCTGCTAACGCAAAGTCATGAACGCCACCACGTAATTCATAGTAGCAGAAACGACGTTGGCTGTGCTCCGGTAACTTCTTGTCCTGCAGCAAGAAAGGGCGCCACACATGGAAATGAAATGCAAAAATGCAAATGTGATTGCATGTGACCGTTCTGATCTTCCCAAAACTGGCACCGAAAAAGATGGAAAAACATTTACAAAACAGTTGCCGCTGAACCTGTGTCTGCAACATCCGGAACACTGGTCACTGGATGTCATCGGATGTCACTGGTCCTCCGGAGCGATGTACGGCGGATTCGCTGTGACCAGGTCGAAACCACCAAGCTGGGCCAGGAGGGTGGCCTCAGCTGGCCATTTTCGAGGGCCAAGCTGCTGATGGTGAACACGTGAATCGATGTGAATAGTTGTTGAGAGCAATCCACACTTGAGATAGCACCATCAATACCGCCATGTACCGCCTAACATGCCTAACCAGGCTCATGAGTTTGTCCCAACAAGTGAAAAACCAAGCTGTAGTGCGAGTGTCTTGTGGTGCGCCCGCCTGAATCGTGTTTACAGTCGTGTAAACTATTCAAGCACAAGTAAACTGGTCGCAGTCTCATGGATAATCAGATTGTAGACATTTGTAGACATTTGTAGACAAAGAAAAGTGACCTGTAAGTACAGTTTGCCATAGCCAAGGTTCATTCCTCAAATCGCCATTGATCAGCTGCACCCTCTGCTCCAGCTTCAGCAATTTGACCGTTCTGCTCAGAAGCTCCACGCTTTCCTCCTGAGCTTCCACGGCTGTCAACTCGGCTTCATGCGGCTGCTGGGCCAGCCAGAAGAGGCCCACGGAACCAGTACCTGTCAGGGGTGGAATCTGGCCAGCAGAGGATGTGGAAAGTCCTCTGGAACGGGGATGTATTATGAATGAAGCGAGTTAAAGAATTGAAGGTTGCTGAGCCCAGAGCATCAGCTAAATGTGATTCTGTCATGCGAGTTTTGGACCAGAACCCACCCAACTTCAAGCTCCTCACCCCCCACCTGCCCCCAAATCCAACAGTCGCTTGGAGTTCGCTTTGGCCCTCCACGCTTCCCTTGCCAGCAGCAGATCGTCGCCATTGAAACGGTAGCCGTTCTTCACCTGGTGGATCTGCCAGCCGCGGCACAGCCGATCCAACACCACGGGCTTTCCAAGGAGGCTCGGTGCTGCCGGTACGGCGCTTAGGGACCGCAATCCCAGGTGTGCCAAGGGTAGCAGGGCCAGGGGCCATGGGCGGCGGATCATCAGGTCATGTGAGCCACTTACAATGTGTTTGACCCAGACTGACTATATAATAATGGACATGATGCCCTCTTCAATTTCCTTAGAGTTGGTCATGTCAATTGCTATTGGCCAATTGATGTCGCTCCCATAGTTGAGATCGACAACCAAGGCATTGTCATTTCCTGTTGTGATGCAGCTGGCTGAATGCCAATGATGAGCATAGTTTGCGGTGTCAAAGACGGCCAACTTGAGGATGTATTTTTTGAGAACCCCCACCCCAAAAAACAGTCGGCTGGTTGCTATTGAATATCTTTTTGAGGAAACTGTTTAGGTCGCTTTCCAGAATGGCTTGGGGTCCGGCACAGTATCTCTGTTGTACAATTGATGCATCTGGCTCTTGCATGCTCTTGCTGTGTTGTGGTCAGGCTGGTTGTCTAGGCAACAGTTGTCCACACTGCTGATCCAATTTGAGCAGAAAGCTGCCTGAACTGAGGTCTTAATCTTGACAAAAGCCAGACGAAATACGAAAGAGATCACAAGAGGTCCATCGCTTGTAGTCCTGGGACCTACCAAGCTACTGTAAGTGCAGGGTCTGAATTGATCAATGACCAACATGACGTGGCGCATCAACCCCCGTGTCTCCTCATTGCTAAAGTCCTTCATGCAGAGTCGGGCATCTGCCGTAATCTTCTCAGCCAGTGGCACGCTGAAGACATTCAGAGTTGCCTCATTTCACAGTCAAACTGGATCAAAGCTGAAAGGAGATTAACCTCCCATCGTCATACATATCCGACATATCCTCTGGGTAACATAAACATAGCTATAGACAAACATTACAAACACCGTTTTCATAGGTAAATCATGGTAAGTCATGGTAAATCCACCAACTAAATGGGTAATTGTCCAGCCGCGCCACCGCCGCCCACGCCAATGCTGCCACATCCGCCCCCCGCGGCGTGGCATCCGCCGCCAGCGCCGCTGCAAAGGCAGCTGCCAGGCGCCAAGGGGTGGGGCGAAGGCCTGGCTTTGGCCAGATGCTGCTGGATTTTCTTTGGAGAAAATGGATTGAGATGATACCACTCTTGACCTACTTTTGCTGGTGATGTTCTAGAGTACGGACACTTTCAACAGAATTTGGTTGGTGAATGTTGGTGATTTTCAACCTAGTATGAGGGATAATGTAATTCTGGATCAAGCTGCAGGTGTGCTAGGTTCTATCTTGAAGGCCCAGATGTTGCTATCTTGAAAGAATCTCACACGAGAATGAACATCCTCTTGCAGCTGGGCAGCTCAGTTTTGCTAGGGCCCATGGCAGAAAGCTGCTGGACCACGGTGCTATGGAGCTGTCTAGACCTCTAGCAGCAGTTGAGGCACTCGGAGATATTTTGAAGCAATGCTTTTCAAAAAAAAAATGTGGGGAAAAAAGTACGCTTTCCTGCAACCTGTAGAGTTGTACTTGAAGATAAACTGCATCAACAACAACAGCACAGAGTCTTCCACAACATGTTGAGAGAGCATATTGACATGCCGCGCCACTCATCAGCAGTTGGAAGGCGTCTCTTCTGCAGGAAGGCGCCAGTGAATTCATCAGGGTCCCCAAACCTCGGACACATGAAGCTCACAGAGGCAAGGGGTGAAAAATCCATGTCCCATAAGACAGGTGAACGACTCGAAGGACTCTAAGGGGTAAAGTCAAAAAATGTCAAAAAAAGATCTTCTTTAGTGAGGTACAACGACCACATACTCCCACTATCTCCCACTATCTGATTTTTCTCGTTTGAGCTGAAAAGGGTTGAAAAGTTCCCCTGACAAGGCGTCCATTCAGCACTTCTCAGCAGAACTTTCTTCACATCAAAGCTCCATGGCGCTAGCAACTTGCACATCTGAAGCAGCCACTGTCACAGGCGAGCAGCTGATTTCATCTGGTATGAGTTGCATACCAGCCATTTGTTCTACCATGTGAAAGGCATGCATCCAATTTCCAGTGGCAGCACTGGCGCTGATTGCTGCATTCAAACCTGCCAAGGCAGCTGGTTCAGCAGAACCACATCTGGAACAACCAGCGGATGCGCCCTACATGTTTTGGCAGTGATCTTCTAAGTCCCGCAAGTGATAACATGGGAGGTAGTTACCAAGTCACGAATGAATAATCATGAATATTGAACGCCGGAACATTGAACGTTGCTCTGCGACACTTTTTCGAATGGCGAGGGTGAAAGCTCTGATGTCTAAATGGGAAAAACGTGACATGAGCAAGTTTCCGGACGCCAGTCGAAACATCTCAGGCCAAAATCTCACGCCAGAGGCGGAGTGAAAACTCACATAAACTCGCATTGGCTGTCGATGGTGACGCGAATGCGAGGTCAGAAAATTGGGGAAAGTTCTCATCAACCTAAGTCGTTGAGAAGTTCCCCCACGCTCACTTCTTGGCTTGAATGGTCTCAGCAACGTTCTCTGGCACAGGCTCGTACTTTTCGAACTCCATACCTGGGAGCTGGCACACGTTTTTTCCAGGAGCATCTTCTACAAAAAACAGCTGTTGCTGATGGTCTTCATCAATCTACAATTTGTCAGTCCATGCCCTTTCTTTACTTTGTTTTCACCTTGCAAAGCCACCTCACTAACAATCCAATTTTTCCACTTGGATCCACTTCGTGATTGATTCGCTGAGATGGTCCCGTTGATGCATGAAAGCTTGACTAAATTGGCCCAGCTGCTGTAGTTGGCGCGGCCCTTGGAGAGATTTCTCAACTCCGCGATGTAGCTGAACATCTCGGCCAAAGGAACCTTGGCCGCTGGAATCGCATCAAAAAAGGAAGAATCACCTGGAACTCTCATCTGTATACATCATATATGTGCTTCTTGGATCTTCTTGGTAGGTTCGCCACTTGGGTTTTTGAACGCATTCCTGCTGTTGCTTCAGCATTTGTTTCCGACTATGTTTCTTCTTCTTCTGTCTTCCCCATCCACCATCCACCAGCCCGCCCAATCGCCACCGCGCCACGCTGGCGTTCACCACGTGCAGGTTGCTGCGGGTGCCCAGCTCGTTGACGATGCCACGGCGGCTGTTGAGGTCGCCGATGATGTTTCCTGGAAATCCCAAGGTTGTAAAAAAAATTGTACTCGGCTGATTTGAGCTCAAAAATGTATTTGTTGAGGCAAAAACGTAATTTGTTTGTTTTCCTTTGGGTGCACGTTGTGATCTTAAGCAATAGTTTTGGTAGCTTTCCACTCACACTGCCATCAAATCTGAAGAAAAAACTAATTAGGCAACCAAGATCTACAGAAACATGACTAATGTACAACTCTTGGGGTATAAATGCAACATGTCAGTGCCAACAAATGGCCCGAAGCAGCGCGGATCAAAACCAAAAACCACATTGGACTCCATTCCGTGAATTTCCGCGTTTGTTCCGCAAATTTCCGCGTTTGTTCCGGGAATTTCCGCTTTTGTTTTTGGCGCGATTGTGTTCAAAAAATGGAATTCACCCATCAACACGGCTGCAAAGCCATGCCACAGGTTGCTCAAGGCCTTTAACCACCCAACCAATTCCAGGTGAGTGCAAGACACAATGCCCCATTACAAGATTTTGTGGTGGGATGCATCATGGAGTAGTGACACTTGCGGAAATTCTGGCGCAAATGATTCTGTCCCCACTAAGTCTTATTTATTCCCTTGCTTCATGACGGCCCAAACGGCCGAACAAGCAAACAATGTCCAGCGTACTCAAAATATGAAAATGTTCAAAAAACGGCTTTGTTTCTGAAAATGTATCAATAAATGAATTTGTTCGAAAAAACACGGTTTTCCAAACACATACAAAAATTATATGCATACTTATGGCTGCTTAGGTTCCCATGTACTCCTCAGGGGTGATGACCTCGACCTGACCACGGCATGGCTGGAAAATGGTGATGGAAACTAAGAGGTGAAGCAAACTTCTGGAGTTCATGATGAAGACAATGGCAAGGGATGTCCATAGTTTGTATCTGCATGGTCTGTCATCGGTTTCAAGACACTCCCACCCACATCATACACAAAAATTTCATAAGAGGTTACACACGTCTACCTGCTATACAGCACCTCACCTATCATCTAGGTTATTCACAATGGATGTTGTTTTTCCTCGCCTGTCATGTCACTGTGGTGTCACATCATCTACCCTGGCTTTCACAAAATCTTCGAAGTTACAACATGTTGAGTCATAGTTATAGATGAAACTCTCACCTCCACAACCCCACCACATCATTTATACCATCCTCAAAGCCTTCCATGGATTCAAAAGATAGAACAACAAATCCAACGGAAACAGTTGTAAATTCAACATGTTCCATCTTTTTTTGGGGTTAACATATAAAATTCTCATAGTTTAACCATGTTTAACCGTTATGTTATAGTAGTACCCCCCCCCCATCAACCCATCATAACCCATCTCTCTCTCACCCCCCAGCCCCATCCCCGGCCATCCCCGGCCATCCCCGGCCTTCATAATGGGTTCCATCACAATGGGCTTCGCCTTCCCCGCGCCCTCCTTAAAGGCCGCCCTGGCGGCGATCTCGAAGGCGATGGCCGAGGAATCCACGGGGTGGAAGCCGCCGTCCTTCAGCGAGGCCTTGACGTCCACCACGGGGAAACCCATGCGGATGCCGTTCAGCAGCTCGCCTTGGAGAAGGATGCATGGATGGATGCATGGGATTTGCCATGATTTACCATGATTGCCATAGTTAACCAACATAATGATACGTTGATACATAATGAAGATTTGAGATGGATTGGATGGATAAATCTGATTGAATGATTTAACCAATTTAACCGTTCAATATGATTTAAGCAACAAAAGTAGCTGCTGACCAGCAACAAATTAGATTTTGGATGGATGGATGGATGGATGGATGGAAGGTACCAGGATTTATCAAGGGAAATTGTGGGAATCTACACCCAAATCCAGGAATTAGCATGAATTAACCATAACCTGCAATTGGAATGAATGAGGATACATGGCACCAATGAATGGGATGGGAACTAGGATGAAGAATTATGAAGAGGGATCCAGGTTCATCTTTGGATGGACCTTCCAAAAAAAAAAAACGCCACAATGGAAGCCAGTGGCCCTCGGTGCCCTTCACCACTGCTGGGACGTACTCCTTGGGCACAGCGCCGCCAACGACGGAGTTCTCGAACTCGAAGCCCTCACCAGGGTTGGGCTCGTAGACCATGCAGAGCTTGGCCTTGTGGGGTTTCCGCAAGGGAAACGCGAACTTCTGCCGGAAGTTAAGCCCATAAAAATTTGGAACTTAATGATTTGACCAGCCAAAATTGTGGATTTGACTTGGCCAATCAATTTTTGGGGTGGCTTTGCCTATAGCCAAAAAAATCTGTTCTGGCCAAGTCACATACTGTCCAGATCCTCCCGTCTGCTTCTTGTGGGTGTACCACAGTTCCACCGGCTCTGTGATGGTCTCGCGGTAAGCCACCTGAGGTTTGCCCACCTCGGCCTCCACCTTGAACTCGCGCTTCAGGCGATCGATGATGATCTCCAAGTGCAGCTCACCTCAAAGGTGGAGGAGTTGTCATGGCTAACCACAGGTCGCACAAAGGAAAATAGGCAAAATGGATCAAAATGAGAAGAATTGAGAAGATAGTAAAGTATAAAGGATTGTGATTCTGATGTAAAGCCTAGAACTTTCGCAATTCTGTGTCGCTTCCTGGGGGCCTATGATATCCCTTGTCTGATAAGTTCCATGATTGATCATCTCCCACAGGGGGTCAATCAAAAAGTTATAGTTATATAATTGGGGGTCAATCAAAAAGTTATATATATATATAGTATTAATATTAATTAATGGCCTTTAAGTCTTTCCCAGTCACCCATGCCCTCAATGACGGTCTGGTTGGACTCCTCATCTCGGCTGTAGCGGAACGATGGATCCTCAGCGGCCAACTTGTTGAGGGCTTCGCCCAACTTGTCCGCATCCTTCTGGGAGGTGGGCTCGCAGCTGACCTAAAAACAAGCGGAAAAAACCAACCCAGTTGGTAAAGAGTCCAACACTTTATGGAGCCAGCCAATCATCAGGGCTGCATTACAAATTCCATCTTTTGGATATGTTTGGTGGTTTCATCATGTTTTATCATGTTTTATCTATCCCACTTTAGGTTGATTTGAACTTTATAAGCCTAGAAAAGCCACAGTGGGGCGCCCACCTTGATCACCGGCTCCGGGAAGTCCATCTTCTCCAGCACCACCGGGGCATCCACGGCGCACAAGGTGTCCCCCGTGGTGGTGTCCTTCAGCCCGACGATGGCGATGATGTCGCCGCACTGGGCCTCCTTGATCTCCTCGCGCTTGTTGCTGTGCATCAAAACCATGCGGCCCATGCGCTCCTTGGCCTTGCTCCTGCGCAGAATGATCAGAATGGAAGTGGTTGAAGCGGTTGAAACAAAAACGGTTTCTGTGGAAATTGTGTTCCAGATTGACCGACAAAGTTCAAATAGCATGCAAAGAAAGTCGCCTACTAAGTCCATCTCTCTCTCTCTCTCTCTCTCTCTCTGCCACAGCTTTTGGATACTGGTCCCCATGTGATCCTGCTGCAAAATATTGGCATAGGCTACATACATCTGTCTATGATCCATACCACCTCCCACATCCCACCCTGGCAGGATCTCCTTGGGTTCCAGACCATGTCACCTGCCTTCACCTTTCCGGAGTAGATGCGGTAGAAGGTCAGGGTGCCGATGTAGGGATCCGCCGCGACCTTGAAGGCCAAGCCCGATAGCTTCCTGAGGGCGGCCAGCCAAGATGCAACACTTCTTTCATTACCCATAGGATCCATGTATGCTATATATGATAACATTTACCATCTGTCCACATTGTTTTTCTTATCGCTAGATACTAGTATCTCTAAATCAACCAATAACTAACCAAGGAAAACAATGGAACAATAGAAGTGGCTGGTCTTTTTACTTCCGGGTCACCTTCGAGGGTGAACCACGACAATCCACTTTCTACCACCTGAACCCAAGCTTCTCATCTGGGGATGTCTCACGAATCAGCTCTTCTTCGTCGTTCTTGGGGTTCTTGCCCTGGGCCCGTTGGAGTTGCCATGGGTACTGCGGCCTTTTGCCATCTATCTCGCGATATCTTTTGCAACCACCATCTAAGAATGCTTTGAATTTAAACCCGAGGTTTTCTCAAATGTCTCAGTTTTGCTGGGTGAAATTGCAACGTCGCTGAGTGAAATCCCCAGTTCTCTAAGACTTTTAGCATCCGCATCACATTGAGTAAATTTCCCAATGCCCTGCCTTGGTGGGTGGCAGGTCCAAAGGAGATGGCAGGTAGTCGCAGACTGCATCCAAGAGAGGCTGCACGCCCTTGTTCTTGAAGGCCGTGCCGCACAGCACTGGCACAAAGCCTTGGTTGACCCACGAGTGACAGATTCTGACGGGTGGCATCGTGTGTCATGGGAGAAAGAAACCAGTTGAACAGTCGCATTGTGATGCCTGGTATAATATGTCCAACAAGGGGAACAGGAACAAACACATTCTCATGCTATATACTTAAACCAACCCCCGTTGCACTCCTAGCTCCTGTGTAGAACCCAAATTAAAGAATCTTCATAGTTGCTGATTTTATAATCAAGTTTCCCCTTACTGACATCACCTTGAATCACCTGAAACAATCCCACAGTAATGCACCCTCCCCATCACCCCATGCTTTAGGGGGCCAACCCCCAACCTCCAACCCCCCCAACCCCCCCAACCCCCACCAGGTAGCTGAAGGTCAGGGTGCCCTTGCGGATGCATTTCTTCAGCGTCGCCACATCGGGCGCCTCCCCCGTCTCCAGGTACTGCTCCAGGACCTCCTCGTCCTGCTCGCAGGCCTTCTCCACCAGGTTCTCGCGGTACTTCTCCACCAGCTCCTGGAATAGAAATTGCTAGGATTTCTTGGATATTTAAGGGGGGAAAATCCGTTGATGTGATTGTCTGCTTATGTTTCCTGATTGGGGCTTCGAAAATTTGGTGTTTCAAGTGGCAATTTCTGTTGTTCAAAACAAAAGTCATATGATTCCGCGAACCCAGTTTTGCATAATATGCAGAAATACTTCTCTGGCCTCCATGCCCTCGGGAATCTCATCTTTGTACTCGAAGTTGGCTCCCAACTCCTCTCCGGTCCAAATGATGGACCTCATCTCCACCAAGTCATAGACGCCCTTGAAGCCGGCCGCCTTTCCAATGGGCAGCTGGATGGGGACAGGGTTGGTGCCCAGCTGGTCCACCATCATCTGCACGTCCTTGAAGAAATCGGCGCCCTCGCGATCCTGTGGCCGATTCCTCCTGGTTCTTTTATTTGAAAGGGAAAGGCGAGATAATCAGATAATCTATGTTTTCCATAACAGCAGTGTGCCATTCATACTAAGTGGCCTAAGTGGCTATGACTACGACACACTACGACCACAGCTGGAAACAACTTCAGGTGGTATGGCTGTGTTCATGGGCTATTTGATGCAGTCTTGCACCTATATATATATATACCTATGGTTCTGATAATGTCTAGGAGTCTAGGTTGCAACTTGTCTTACCCTCTGGTAAACTAACATAACTATGGAAAATCACCATTTTTAATGGGAAAATCCACTATTTCTATGGCCATTTTCAATAGCTATTTTGACATAACCAGAGGGTAATAATTCCCCCAGCTTGCCACCAGAGGCTCCATCTTGTTGACGAAGCACATGCGCGGCACGTTGTACTTGTCCGCCTGGCGCCACACCGTTTCACTCTGCGGCTCCACTCCCGCCACGCCATCGAAGACGGCCACGGCGCCATCCAGGACGCGCAGGGAACGTTCCACCTGCGATTTCGGCGCAACAGAACTTTCACAACAAATACATACAAAATATTACAAAAATCATAGAAATACTTGATTCCACATGATTCATCATGATTCCACATGATTCCACCAACCTGAGAGCCATCATGAGCCATCATTCCCCATCATTCCATATATATCCATATATTCCATCCATCAGTGATCCACATGTCTGCACCTCCAGGGTGAAGTCCACATGCTCCGGGGTGTCCACGATGTTGATCCGGTGCTCGTTCCAGAAGGCCGTGGTGGCGGCGCTGGTGATGGTGATACCGCGCTCCTGCTCCTGCTCCATCCAGTCCATGGTGGCCTGGTGGTTGCTGGGATGGATTCTGGAAAAAAATCACCATGAGATTTCTTCACATGGATGGAGCCGAAAACGAGTTTTATATATGTTTCAATATGTTTCAAACTGGAAAAATGACGTTCTCTTTTACATCCCTGTGAGTCATGGCAGGAGAATTACATACTGATCTAGGAATCTAGGATCCAATGACCTACTGTACCCAAGTTTTTGTTTCCAAAGCATTCCAAAACTACATTCTCCCACTGGGGCCCTGCCTGTCCCTCGTGCACCTCACCGATCTTCTTCTCACGTCCGGTGTAGTACAGGATTCGCTCGGTGGTGGTAGTCTTGCCCGCATCAATGTGGGCCATGATTCCGATGTTGCGGTACTTGTCCAAGGGGATGCCACCATCCTTGCCTGGCATAGGACATGCTGGATGTTTTGCAGGGTGGCACTGCCCACCAGAAGCCAAACCAAAACCAAAATGTTGGACCGGCGGAAGCCAAGAAAAATATCCTCTAACAACTGCTTGAACTTCAAACCCCAAAACCTCGCGACTCCACAAACCAACCCGACAACTCTTCCATTCCCCAAAAATCATCCACCCGTCCCATCACATCCCATGGCCTGTGACCTCCTTCAACTGATCCAAGGTGGAGGCCTTACACTGGACCTTGGCCAATTTGTTCTGCTTCACCTTGCGCCTTTGTCCTCCCACGCTTCGCGCCACCAGGGCACCCGCCACTGCGGCCGCAGCGGCTGCACCACTGCGGGGAAAGCCACCCGTGGCAGTGGCTGCGGCGGGGGCGACCGGGGCAGCCACCGGGGTCACCAGGTGCTGCGCTTGGAGGGAGGGAGCGACGAAAGCAGCCGCCATGGTCAGAAGATTTGTTGAGGATCTGAGTTTCAAGACACCAAAGAGGGAGAAAATCTGGGGAGGATGTTGTTAGTGGTTTTTCCTGAAGTGCTTGGAGCCGGCAGGAGCTGAAGTGAGCCAAGACACTGCGGCATGAGGTCAGATGAACCGTTGCCATGATCGAAATGAGGCAAGTTCAAAGCTTCTTGAACTAAGGCCCCTTTGAGAAATCGCTCAGTTGAACACAAGTTTGAGTTGTTTCCAGAGACAGAAAAATCTGGACCCAGCTTCCACCCTCATAGGCCCCATATGGCCCCATGAAGTTCCCAGCTTTGGCCTGTGGCTCTGGGCTCCATCCTCCACAAAGGCATCAAGCCCAAGAACCTCCCAATGGAGCTGTGGCCAGCTTTCACCAGCCCACTTCTCGCTGCACATCAGCCATGGACAGCCATGGGATATGATGGGGTACTGGCGGTACTGGGATCTTGACAAGACAATCAAAACCTGCACAAAAACGCGTGCCAGAAAAAGAATTCATGACACATGGCCAATCTATAGTTGCACCTTTGTGCAAAAATTGAAGAGCTAGGCGTTGTCCGACCTTTAGCGTTACGACCGTCGGATTTGATATTCGTCCTGGAAAGGAAATATCTTGAATCCGTGGCTGTCTGGCTGAAATTGACCGCAGCCATTCACCAATGCCTCCCCAATCCTCTTGGCCCTGCCTGAAGGCTTCAGCCCACTGGAGCCTTCGACCACCTTACAGGCGGATTTCCATCCCTGGGTGCAACTTTTTTTCTGAAGAAACAAAAGCACATTGACCCCATTGCCAACTGAATCACCATATTTTGATGCAATTTCTTGTTGGCCAGATTTCTTCAATCCCAATTTTTGGCAAGAGGATGTCCTAAGGCTGTCCTCGCTCCAGCAATAGATCGTTTGGAAAGGCAAAATATGTTGCCCCGAAAAAAAATCCCTCCCACAGCTCCACCCAAAAGAAAAGTCTGATCTCAAGCAAATGCTGATCAGCAAGCACTCATCATCGAATTGGCATAGCTCGTCCTCAGATTCAAAGGGGTTTTGTTGCAGCCTCCAAGCCCAGTGAAAAGGACGTGACGACGGGGGTTGCTCAAGTTTCTTCATATGGCCAGAACCTCCAAATTCCTGTGAATCAAATGTGGAAACCGAACTGCCCAATGCTGAATCTGGTTCAAAGACTGAATGTTTTCCGTTGCATAAATGAAGCGTCTCCGAATCCAAACCCAAACACTCACAGCAATTTTCGGCATATTTTTGGCACTTACCAGGCCACTGTCACTTACTGGGATGCTAACCGCCTTTGGAATCCTGACTATCGGATAACAAACGCCCTTTGTTCTCAGACTTCATCTCATTGGGAAATGTTTCAGGAAAACCAGAGCCCTTTGATTGGTTAAAGAAAAAGCATGCGTTTCCTAAGTCGCCTGAATGTAAGTACCTTTGCTATCTTGATCGAAATCAACCCCAACCCAGCTAAATTGCAATAATACCTCACAGCTTTGAAACAACCCAATTTTGGGTTCCTCTTCCTACAATATCTACATGGTCACCACTCAGCCCAGCGATTGATCCAAGGAGCTCCAACGAATATGAATTCCGACCTGCCGCATGCAGTGCGGCTTCCCAGCAGTTCTCGGCTTCTGTAGCTGCAGCAGCCAGATGGCTTCGAAATCGGCCCTGAACTGACGTGAAGATGTGGGAAGCAACTTGAAGAACATGTGAAAAGTGGGAAACCATGGAAACATTAGCGAAATGCTGGACAACGGACATGACATTATGTGTAAAAAATTGGGAAGAAAAACAAGTGGAATCATTAAATCATTATGTTTCAAATTCACGCGCGAGGGCGATTTCCTGGAAAGTGCTATTGTTTCCTGTGGCCGGCTCCACTGTTATATATATAATTATATACAGTATATATATATATCAACAAAAACAGGAAGAAGTGGCGGTTCATCTTCACTCTCTGCAGGATCTACTACAAATCTTCCCGAGAAACCTGGATAGAAAAGCCACTTGCTCCTGGTTGTCAAGGATCTCATTTTGCGAAGAAGAGGTGGTGGGTTTGGCACCCTGGGTGCTCATGGATGCTCCTCTACAGTATAGGGCAAGGGCATTGGCCAAGCATGTTCCAAGATTTGATTCCAAGCAGCACCTCCCTCTGTTCGATCAAGGTGCAGGAGCATCATCTGGAAGCAGGTTCAGGGCCTTGCGACTTGAGAAAGGATCCAACTGAGCGTCTGACAGTTCCACATGCATCAATTGGGATAAAAATCAGATTTTGGGACCTGACGCAGGATCTTGCATCCTCTTCCCACATAGATTCACGTCTCCAAGTTCATCAAATCCTGTGGCCCCCCTGTGCCCACCCCAACCACACCCCCAGCCCTGCCTGAGGCCATTTCGAAGCTGCTTCCAGCACCTCCAAAACATCCAGCACCGCTGGGGGACATCTGCTGCTTCGGAGCGGCACCTGCCAGTACAGATGGAGAAACCTTGAAATCCTCAGTTCTTGTTGAGATGAAAAGGTACACCAAACCATACACCTCCAACTGGGAATATTTTGCTGAACTTATAGAGCCCATTATTTGGGTAAAATTGGGATACTTTATATGCCAATTTACCACATGAGTCACATGAGTAGTTAATTACAGCTATATAGTTTCAATAGATTGAAGGAAAGTAACTATACTTGAGGCATCTCTGACAACTTTTGGAAGAAGCATGCTGCGCGCGCGGGGGGCTGCAGCCTGGGAATTTGTGTTATTTGTTGGGCCATTGAAGAAGAACGCCTTGGACGAAACTGCCATCTGGCCTGCACGCTCGCCAGCATCTGCTGCCACCCGGATGCTGCACCTTCTGTGGTTTGGCTGAAGTGGAATGGGTTGGAATGGAGCTGCCACCTGCCCTGAATTCAAAGGTAGTTCAAGTTAGTTTAATGCTTCTTGTTCTTCTTTTGGATATGTTTGGATTGCTTGATCCCCAAATACCTTTTTGTGATGAAGTACATACTTCACACTGTTGAGTTGTTGAGTTCCAAACGTAACCCTACGTACAGTACTCCTCCTGGGGCCACAAGCACCCAGGATATGTGTTTCTGTGCACCCTATAGCAACCAACCAGCCCCAGTGCCACCAAGAATCCACTTGGCTCCACAAGCCTGCTCAACTCTTGGAATTCTATCTGGTGCAAACAAAAAAAAATCCATCACTTGTAGATCATGTACCCTCTGGTGAACTAACATAGCAATGGAAAATGGCTATTTATAGTGGATTTTCCCATTAAGAATGGTGATTTTCCATTGCTATGTTAGTTCACCAGAGGGTACTTTCAGGAAGGTCATGGATTTTCAATTGCAAGTTAAGATTGCTGAATAAAATATTCGATCTGGCGCCAAAACACCCGGACCCTATTCCTGTAATTACGTGGGTTTCACCCCCGGACAAATTGATGTATACTGAACTGCTAAGCAGCCCCTTGGCTACACAAAACTGGACTTGTGATCAGACACTAGGTGCTCACAACCTGCTGGTCACGTCAATCACGTCTATTAAGCAATGGAAATGATTGTTATGCCACCCAGTTTTCGCAGTCGCTTGTTGAAGAGGCTTTCCCCTAACACAACCCCACACAAACCTTGGCACTGTATTAAATATGTACCCTCTGGTAATTTGTTACATAGCTATTGAAAATGGCCATAGAAATAGTGAGTTTTCCCATTAAAAATGGTGATTTTCCATAGTTATGGTGATGTTTACCAGAGGGTATGGCATCTATGGTCTCTCTTTGGGATTATGGTCAAACCCCTGTTGAACTACCATCTTCGTTGCCTCTTAAACTTCGCCAATCCAAGGATCCCATATTTCCGCCATTGGACTGCGTGGGTTTTTCCCCAAGATTTTCGAGTGACCAACCCCCCAAAAAATGATGGCACTCCATTTTTATGGGAACAATATGGAAGCTCCATTTTTATGGGGTGCCAATATTTCTCAGAACGCCATAACCTTCTGAAAAACCATCTTTTTTACCACTGGATTCAAAACGAGGCTTTTCCCATGGTCCCATGGTCGGTGATCAAAGTCGTCCCTGATGTCCTTCGCTTTTCTGCGCCGCTCAGCCTCAAGGCCTGGAAGAGGGGAGTTCACCAACAACCAATGGGGGTAGAATACTACCCTCTGGTAATTTAACATAGCTATTGAAAGTGGCAATTTATAGTTGTTTTTCCCATTAAAAATGGTGATTTTCCATAGTTATGTTAGTTTACCAGAGGGTACTGGGAAGACATGGGACCATCAGTAATATCCCAGGAACATCCCAGGAAGTATTAGATGGAGTCATCACTGGGATATTCCTATTACTGGGTACATTACTGGGATTGCTGGGATTTCTTACAGAACTATTACAGGGATGTATAACTGATAAGAAAGGGACATGATGGGATATTACTGGGAAATAATGGCATGTAATAACCAATAAAATGATAGTAGAGGTAGAATGCTGTGTAGATCTTTGAAACGGCAAATGATGGGATATCTCACCGATATGAAGGGTTTGTCTGACCATGTGGTTATCTCCCAATCAGGTGGCTTTTTTGAAAGGGACGATGAAAAAAGAAGCGGTGGGAGTTCGGGGTACCCCATTTTTCAGACAAGCTCTGTGGCAATTCTATGTATTGTGTGAATGTATAGGTATAATGGATATTGTGGACACTGGTTTTGCATTTTCAGTGGATAAAAAAGGTATAGTTAGGTATACATATATGACATCTATGCAATGTACAAGGCCGATGTGGATTATTAGTTGCCAATCGAAAGCTATTCTCTGTGAGGTTGACTCAGTTGACTCCGTGGGGATTCCATCAGAGGTGCCTCCCAGGCAGCCATAGGTTTGATCAAACCATTTTTTGGGGGTGGTGTGCCTAGTTTCAATCATTACCCCTAAATGGTAAACTTGGGTGAATGTGAAATGGCTATAATGGCTGGCAAATTGGATTTCACTGGCAGTTTAAAACTGGCTTTACATTGCGATAAACCACATCGCGCATGGACTGATTTTTGATCCACGGAATAACGCAATGATCAAAATATGCTCTTTGGCAGCGG